TTCCTGCTGTAAGTTCCTTTGGAGACAGTATGGCATATTAATGAAACGTTTTGGAAAAAATAAACCCAGGAGCTCTGAGTCTGTAAGAACTGAGCATGTTCACTGGTGACAGAATGTTGACTGGCTTTTGGAGGGGAGGGTAGAAAATGGGGGGCGGAGGATGGAATGATAAAAGACATGCTGGCACTCTGAAAAGGAGCACTCCACACAGCAACATTCAAAGTCCCACTGAGAAAGAATATTTTGGAATGATTGCCTGAGAAGTCCCAGGAAAGAGTAAGGGGATCCATGTTCCAGTTTACATACTGCCCTCAACTGTACCATTCCTAATGCCCAAACTGCCTGCATATGCATATTTATTTTTGTTGGTGCTGCTCCTCATAGAAAATGTTGAATAGTTGGTCATATTGCCCTCCTGTGGTAGAGCCACAGAACAGCCTCAGGTTGGGAGAACATTTGAAGTGGGGAAAAGGAAGCTGTCCACTCTGCATAAACGTCTGTCTCGTACTGAGGGAAGAGAGCAACTCCAGATAGATGGAAGCAACCATTAAAGACCAAACTGTGGGAGGCAGTGGAAGACAGAAGTGCTTGGCGTGCTCTGGTCCATGGGGTCACGAAGAGTTTGACACGACTAAACGGCTAAGCAACAACGAGGGCCTGTGAGATAATGGGAAGAGAATCATGCCCTTTGTGTGGCCAGAACGTGCTGGAGGACATGTGGAGGGAGCCCAATAGTGCAGATTTTCCAATGTACTTGCATATGCAGCACATGGACTGATTAGGAAGCACCAAAGGCCCTCAGTCTGGAAGCATTCGAAGTATTTAGTGCCCCATATAATTTGGCCCACCAATGGAGAAATAGGTAAAAGTGCTTTTTCTTGTCAAGTACAGTTTGCTACTGTTGGGCTTTTTAAAAAAGTGCTCCATTTACAAAGACTCACCCTTTTCAGAGGAGCAGAGAAACGTAGCTAATTAAAGATGTAAATAAATGTACATCTTTTGTGTATTTTCCACAATTTGGGTGGAATAAATGTGTGACAGAGATGCGGGTGGCGCTGTGGGTTAAATCACAGAGCCTAGGACTTGCCGATCAGAAGGTCGGCGGTTCGAATCCCCATGATGGGGTGAGCTCCCGTTGCTCAGTCCCTGCTCCTGCCAACCTAGCAGTTCGAAAGCATGTCAAAGTGCTTGTCCCGCTCCGGCGGGAAGGTAAACGGCGTTTCCGTGCGCTGCTCTGGTTTGCCAGAAGCGGCTTAGTCATGCTGGCCACATGACCCGGAAGCTGTACGCCGGCTCTCTTGGCCAATAAAGCGAGATGACCTAATGGTCAGGGGTCCCTTTACCCTTTACCTTTAAATATGTGACAGATACTTATGTAGCAGCTAAAGATGAAAGGATCTGTCAGTTTCTATCCTCTTTCTAATTTTCCCCTTAAGTTCAGTTATCATGAAAATTACACAGCATTTTCAAGAGATTTTTCTCCTAATAAACACATTTTTATATGCAGTTTTTCTTAACACACACATTTTTGCACGCAATTTTCCCTGATATCACGAGTTTCTGTATGTTATTTTCACCAACATCTTCAGTTTAAGCATACTTTCCCCCAACATATGCATTTCTGTAAACAGTGGTTGAGGAACTGCATTGTGAAATTTGGATAAGAGAGAAGGATGTTCTCTGTTCTCTTTTGAAAAGTGCAAATTTGATAAATTTACTGAACTGAATTTCTCCTCCATCCCTAGTGGCAGCCTTTACTGCCACTGCACAACAACTGGTTGTGGCTTTTAAATTCACACCTAAACATCACTGATAATACTGAAACTTAGCCCGACCTTTGCCTCTGCCCTGATTATAGAGAACAGTTATAACAATGTAATGCTTCCCAAACCATCCATTTATCTCAGTCTGCTGACTAGAACAACAAAGAATCTTGCCGAATCTTAAAAGACAAACACATTTAATTATGGCACAAGCGTTTGTGAACTAGAGTCCACTTCACCAGATGCACAGCATGATCCTCAGTTGGTTGATATATACAAATGGGTATATAGATGAAAAATAAAAAGGCACCGTCCGTTACATGGCAATGAAGTGCAAAAAGCATAGTTGGTGGCAGTTCAATTAGACACTAATTAAATTCAAGCTGCTCAGCAAAGGAAAAAACGTTCCTTTGTTTACGCAGTTTTATTTCAAAGCAAGCATTTGCAGAATGACTTAAATAGAAGCTAGCCTACAAAGGAGACAAAATGCTGCTGACAGGAGACAATCCCAGATGCATTGCTCACGACTAGAGCTGAAAAGCTCCCAATTGGAGATGAATTATGTGGACTCGCATTTGGCACTTACGGCAGGATTCTGGAGCTCCTGAGTGGAGCCAATCCCAGTGCAGCTCAAAGTTGAGAGAACACTTGAGGCCTCCAGGTTCCTCCTTTGCTGCCTTGGCATCGTCCATCCCACAACTGACATCATATGGTGCCAAGTGTGAGGCAGGTGGGCATGGCTTGGGAACAATGTCTTCAAGGGCCAACTGAGGACTTCTGCCAGGAGTTTCCCCATGCCTGAATTAGAGCTTAAGTGTATGCAAAAGAAGCACAGCTATCATTTACAACAACTATGTACGTTGGTGGCAGCATAATTCTATTAGCTTCCAAAGCAACTACTCTCTTCCGAACTTAAAAGTGGTAAGCTTAATGCTGGTGGTCAACAAAAGCGGTTCAAAGACGCTCTCAAGGCAAGTCTAAAAGAATGTCGCATAAACACCGACAACTGGGAAACACTGGCCTGCGAACACTCTAGTTGGAGAACAGCCTTTACCAAAGGTGTCATGGACTTTGAAGATGCTCAAACTCAGGACACAAGGGAGAAATGTGCCAAGAGGAAGGCACATTTGGCAAGCCCCCACCATGATCAACTCCCACCCAGAAACCTATGTCCCCACTGTGGAAGGACGTGTGGATCCAGAATTGGCCTCCACAGTCACTTACAGACTCACTGTTAAAACCATGTTTATGGAAGACAAATCTTACTCAGCTATGAGTGATCACACAAGAAAAAGAAGAAGGAGGAGAAGAATTATATTAGCAATCCTGGTTAAATTAATGGTAAACCACTTAGGGAGTTTATTTACAATTAGGTGACATACAAATTTTCTAAAATAAATACAGTGGTACCTCGGGTTAAGTACTTAATTTGTTCCAGAGGTCCATTCTTAACCTGAAACTGTTCTTAACCTGAAGCACTACTTTAGCTAATGGGGCCTCCTGCTGCTGCCGCGCCGCCAGAGTACGATTTCTGTTCTCATCCTGGGGCAAAGTTCTTAACCCGAGATACTATTTCTGGGTTAATGGAGTCTGTAACCTGAAGCGTATGTAACCTGAAGCGTATGTAACCTGAAGCATATGTAACCCGAGGTACCACTGTATTTGTATTTATTTGTAAAATAAATGCTGGCTGGAGGAGATTGTAGTTCAAAACATCTGGAAGGCACTAGGTTGGCAAACGCTGTATATCTTATCTGCCAACTAAAGCAGACAAGCAGAGATATTTTTCTTTTTAAAGACACTTTAATAGAATAAAATGTGGGCTTCATTTTGCGATGGTATGTCACTTTGATTAGCAAAATGAATATTTTAAAGTGGCAAACAGTCGCCATAAAAAAACGAAGCCCACATTTTATTCTATAAAGTCTTGGAAAAAATAATGCTTCAGAACTTGTTGGTGTTTTGTTGTGTTCAAACGCTCATGAAATGTTATGTCCAGATCACCTGGTGGCGCTGTTTCACCAAGCGTGCATATTTCTGTGTGGTGGATAATACTTAGCACTGAGTGTGATCACCTTTACAGAAGGCAACTTAAGTACATCGGAAGCTGGATCAGGCCCATCCAATCCAGCATTCTCTTGTAACAGTGAATTCCTGAACAAGTTAATAGGGAATTTTGAAAGTCCTGAGTGAATATGCTGAAATCTTTAACATGTGAATGGGAAAGTGCTGGAGAAGGTAAGGAAGTAAATAAAGGAGATGTTAGAGTTAGGTGCGATCACGGAATCTCTAAGCATGTGGTCCTCTCGAGTAGTTTCCATTCCAAAGCAAGGTGGGCCTATTAGATTTTGTACAGATTTCAGAAGCATTAATAAGATCACCACTCCTGATGCCTATCCCATACCCAAAGCGGATTCTATGTTGGAGTTGTTGGGATCAGCCAGCATCAGGGTTTTTGGCAAATGGAATTGGAATAATCTTCTAGGTGTAAAACAGCATTTAACACTGAATGGTATTGTAATGAGTATGGGTTGCTCGTGCGTAAGTTGCCGCCTCTCCTGGCTTTGTTGCCTTGTTAAACCTTTCAGTCTGGGCAGCCCTTCACTTCGTGGCTGCCTCAGTCGCTAGCAGAATCCGTCAGTGGGCGTTTCTTAAATCTTTTCCAACATAAAAGTTGTTTGACACCCAGTCTCCTCCTACTCTCTCTGTGCGGAAGTCTTCTGTGCAGGGAGGGCGTGGGTAGCGGAGGACCCGTGCTCTCCCCGCTGGTGTCCGGTGAAGAGTCCTGGAGCCCTCTCACCGATTCCCCCATCTGCCCCCCTTTATCCCTGGTGTTGCGCTGATTTGTTTCCCCATCTGCGGAGCTGCCTCTCTCCCTGCTGGGCCCTTCTCCAGCATCATTTGAGAGCCTTCCCTCCGCCTCTAGCTCCGATGTCAGTTCCCTGACAGGTATATATGGATTTACTTTCTTCTGTTTGAGTTAAATGATTCTCCTGCATCTCAAAGGGGAAAGGGAATCTTTATGACAAATGATAACCTCTCCCTATTTTTTAAAAGCAGTACCAGCAAATCTAACCAGCAAATATGTGTTACTCAAAAGGACTAGTATCTTAAAATCAGTATTTTTTCAATTTCCAGAAAAGGGAGTGGGCAGTACAAATATGCTAGTGATTTTTTCTTTTCTTTTCAGCAAATATTACAAAGCTATTACAAAGCTACCAGAAGCCTCTTCTTTCTATAAGTATTTGACATACAGTACATTCTGGAAAACAACTCCGGAACATGGCTGTATCTTTATTTAGTATTTATATTATTTATTCTTTTTTAAAAAATATACATGCCAGTTGTTTCACTTTTAGTTAATCCACTATTAACACAAATAATCCACTATAAACAAAAATAAAGTAATTCCAGTACACTTAAATGAAGTTGAAAAGAGCTGTTGACGTTGCATGTGCGTCCATTTACGTATGGCTGGCAGAATGACTTTAATAATATACAAAAAATTTCCACCTCATTCATGTGGATAACAGGCTGGGAGAAGCTGTTCTCTTTTGCTATAGTTGGTCCATAAAATGTCCCTGAGATACAAATGTGGCAGAGAGTCTTTCCAGCTCCCATTTTGCTCAAGCATCTTCAAAAAAAAGGTATCTTCCAGCACGATTAAAACATTTACTTTGTGCAATATAGTTTCTTTCTTTCTCTCTCTTTCTGTATAGAAACTCGCATTAGGCCTTGTCCAAGCTTGGCAAATAAGTTTTTAACTGTAATATGTCGGATACAGGCTGTTTTCTGTCATGGTAGAAACTTAGTCCCGTAAGAAGTTCCACATCTCTGACTCGGGTTGTATGGAACTTAATTCTCTCTTCCACCCACGAGGACTCAGGCTTGCCATTCTGTTGGAGCAGAGAGAAAAGGTTGTGTAAAAGATTGCCACAGAGTGTGCCTGTCTTATTTGGGAGGGGGGGATTGGGATTACTCACTGCGCAGCTTTCACTGTTGTCTTCTTTGTGAGGTATAACATAAGATGCAACGTCAAGAGACCCTTCGCATTGCCAAGGAGTCTGGGAAACATTTTTGCAACTTGTCAAGATAATAAAGTAGTGAGTTGGAATGAGAACTTCTGGATTACTTGTGAGCCTGGAATAAAAATTTAAAAAATCAGTATCTTAGTCTTTGTCCATGTAAGCTTTTAAAGTTTTGTCACACCACAATAGAATGGACAGCGGAATCAACAAAACATTTAAGCCCAAACTATAGCATTAAAATGGTTTGATCCTGCTAAATACAACCCACCAGAAAGTTCTGCTGTGAGAAAACATTTTTGAAATGAATCATATAGGAGAATTTGCTGATGGATCAAGTCCCTTGATGTCAAAGGCATGAAATGTGTTTCTCTGGAAGTAGGTTTCCTTTTTTTAAAGCTTTACTTCCTCATTTTAAAGCAAACCTACTGAAGCTTTGCAGTTAATGATGCCGTTAATGAGTTACTTCGAGCAGAGTTCATGATAAGTCAAAAGAACTCTTTGGAACCATGAGTCTAGTTAACTGGAAAGCTAGAATTGTTTTCCCAAGGAAAGCTTTGAAAGAAAGAAAAATTACAATAGCAACTCAGATGAAGGAAGGAATTGAATTTGTCGAAATGATAGTAGGTATCTGTGTAGCAGGTTCACAGGCTGTATTTGGACTGAATGCTAAATCTTCGTTCAGCACTACATGAATGACTGGGCTCCTCTCCTTCTCTGCTCCTCTCCCACAAAGCTGAGCTACAGTCCAGAAGTAGCTGCTTCCATTTCCCCCTAACTGTGGTTGCTAATTAGTCAGAACCAGGGATCCTATGGTTAGTGTACGCTTACTTTGAAACAAACTTCAGTCAGCATTAAATCATGTTCCCTGATTCAGACAAAACAAAACACAGTTAAGGGAAAATGGAAATGAAATCTTCCAAAAAAATTAAGGAGACAGAGGAGAGGGAGTGTTCAAGCTTAGGAGGGGGCTAGGCTAACTTTGCCCACTATATTAAAGTGGACATGTGTTTTGTATTATTAATAATATAAAGTAATATAAATTATTATTTATAAATGCACATACAGTCATACCTCGGGTTAAATGTGCTTCAGGTTGAGCGTTTTCAGGTTATGCTCCACGGCAATCCTGAAGTAACAGAGCGTGGTACTTCCGGCTTTTGCCGCTTGCGCATGAGCACACATTCAAAATGACATCGCGTGCATGCGCGGAAGCGGCAAAACATGACCCACAGACGCGCAGTCGCGTCTTACGTTCTACTCAGGATGCGAACGGGGCTCCGGAACGGATCCCGTTCAGATCCAGAGGTACCACTGTACTGCTTAAAGTCAAAATAGGCTTTCAAGTAGTTCATCAGTTATAAAAAGGGGGAGGGGAAGAGTGAAAGGAATTCCTTATTAACATACACTGATATACGAACTGAACCAATCCACAACTCCCAAACTACAGTCAACAGGTTTACCACACCTATCAGCCAATCACCCATTCCCACCACCCTTCTGAGTAATACCCCTCCCCACCCTGTCACTATATAGAAGGGTCTGGTGACTTCTGTTTCAGTGTATTTGAAGAAGTGTGCATGCACACGAAAGCTCATACCAATAACTAACTTAGTTGGTCTCTAAGGTGCTACTGGAAGGCATTTTTTAATTTTGTTCCCAAACTAATGTGAGGATCAGAACTTACTTTATCCACCAACATTCATACTTCATACAATTCTTGACTCAGAAACCATATCAGAATATGTTTAAATACCAATTTGGGAGGCCATAGAAATACATATTTTAAAAGAAATGTGTTTTAAAATAGCATTTAAATATAGATTGTTGGCTAACTTTCCAAAGAAATAAAATCACAGGTGTCTGCAGAAATGGAACACAATGAACTTCTAGGTGAACTCATAGGTGAACTCATGTGAAAGTGAAACAGACTTATTGGCCCATCAGTATTGCTGAGAATACAAAAATGGGAGCTAGATAGATGATAGATAGATGGTAGATAGATAGATAGATAGATAGATGATAGATAGATAGATAGATATAGATAACAAAATGCATTTTATCTGATGTTTCATCCCAGAAATTAACTATAGTAAGAACTTTTCTATGGTAGCTAGTGCCATAAAATTGTAATACGGTTTTAAAAATAGCTACAACTGACATATGTTTACCTTTTCACTTCCTCGGGTGTATCATACAAGCCATTGTAGTCATAATCAAACACAGGGCCAGTAATGACATGGACACCATTTCTGGCTGCAGCATAGGCTGGCAGTAGGACTGCATTAAAGTAGTTCCATATCACTGAAAACACAATGGGAGCAGTTGAACAAGGAAATACAAGCGCCTTTCCTATCAATCACACATACAGGATAAAAGAGCATCTTTTGGCATTTCCCTTACTAAGATCATAGGCTGCCTTTATTTTTCTTATTTGTCAAACTAGTTTTGTATGGCATGAACATATCACCATCCCCTGATGGCTGGCAAATATTACATCTTTGGGATGTTGGAGGCCTCATAACACATAACCTCTGTGGCCTGGGGAATTTCCCTTGTTTTGTATATTTTTTTAGGCAAACTGGGGTGGCAGCACAGAGAGGTGCAAGCAGCTGCCTCCAGGCCCCTCACCTGGCTCTGTTAGTCAGCCCTGCTGCCTCCTCATACCATTCTTCAACTGAGGGAGTACACACTTGCCTCCAAACATCTTTACTTATTAGTGAGTTTCAGGGGTTTGGGTGGCAGGTGGTGGTTTTAAAAATAAAAAGAGAAGACATAATTAACCCTTACCATGGAAAGCATGGTACATTGGTACAATATTGCTTGATAAGAATGCTTCGACTTTACTGTATCTTTCATCCTTTATCAGATCTGAAAATTAAAAATGTATAAACAACTATTAATTACAAAATTTGAATGAAATGTCTCAAAAAAGGCTTATGCCCCATTCCCCCCCTTTTTTGCCCACTTCTGGGTCACAGCGATGTGCGCATGCACTGTTGCATGTCAATTCAATGCACATAAGTCAGTCAGTGCCTTACATCTTATATATAAAAGCAGAAACTGCAACTCTTGCTTTGCACGCTAATAAATTGCTCTGCTTAGAAATGAGAAAGAAAACAGAATTACTTGGTGGGAAAAGAAATCCATAGTTTAGCTGGGGGTGACTTTTGTAAAATGAACACATCTGGCTGCGGTTCGAAGGAATGCGACTGTCGACATTGAAACAGCTTGGGGTGGCTTCTGAAGATGCAGTCCAATTGTCCTAATTAACAAAATGGGGCATTAGTTGCTGAGTATGCATACCGCACATTACATAAATTGCCAGATACAGATTCACAATTGTCTCCCTTACTCTGACTGTCACCTATGAAATGGTTTAGCCTGTGAAGCTTTTTTTTTTTGGCCAATAATTATTCCAGTCTCAGTTCGGCTGGCTGAACATATGACTTGTGGAGAACTCTCTAATAGTAGAATTTTATAATTCCAAACCTCTTCCAATTTTGCCACACCACCAGGAATAGGTCTATGTAGACCTATTTGGTGGAAATTTCATTTTGGAGCATCAGACATTTTTCCGACCAAGCTGGTCATAGCTAGGGTGAGACAACATGTGACATGCAAATGTGAGAAGCACATGGATGCGTTGTGGTCCACCTGGCCTTTGTCCAACAGAAGACTGTGACAGTGGAGGATTTCAGGCTGCTGTGGGAGATCTTGGATGTATGAACTTCAAAATCTTCAACTTGGAATTCTAATCAATTCAATATCTAGCCCTGGTACTCTCGGCCTTTTCAGGCTGAAGCACCCACTTTTAATGCAAGCATGCATTTGGTGACCCAATTCTTTATCTTTTACCATATGTTTTCATGGTGGTGGTGATCTTGCTGCAACCCATCTTGGATCAGGCTGCAACCCACTAGGGGGTCCTGACCCACCCATTGAAAACCAGTGAAAGTCAACTAAATATCAAATGAAGTAAATTAGCTGAATTGTAACATGGGCCTGTTCTGCAATCTCCCACAATACTTATGGGGAACCACTGTGCTGTCTAAGAACCATTTAGTTTAGCTCTTAGTATCAGTATTTGTCTTAGTATTGTTTAGGCTCACTAGTCTTGCACCTCCTGATAACTTCTTTCCCCCCTTTTAAATATAAACTGTCTCCTTAATTACTAATGTACTTACATGCTTGTTAACCATATAGGCACTCCACAAAGGCATCTTGATCTTGTGGCTAAAGCCATTTACATAATGGTAGCTGTGAAGAAGACAATAGACCTGCTTCTTTTGGAGCACTCTGGGCCTCCCAAATGGCAAACTGTATTTTTCAATCTTCTTTACTAGAGTAGGAGGAAGAAAAACACAATTCAGCTTGCTTCTCCTGGAAAGATTTTCTGCTTAATTTATACTTTTCTCTAAGTAGTTACAACGCTTACTTTCTGAAGTATTGAAAGTTATCTGTTGTTGAATCTGTGGCAAGAGAAAGCAAAAGGTGAGGTCGTCATTTTGTGTACCATCATACCAAGCAAAACATTTCACAAAAAATGTCCTGTTTTTTAAGTTTCAACTTTGTTCCTCTCAATCACAGGGGCCCCATGAGGGGATATAGTGACAAAGCTTTCTCCCACTTCAGAGACAGAGAACCTATGGGCCCTCCAGCTGCTGTTGAACTCCAGCTCCTATCAGACCCAGCTAAAATAGTCAATGGTTGAGGGCTAAATTTACCATTGGCCTACCCTGCAAGGGTCACATGCCAGCAATGGGTGTGACCACCCAACTATCACAGACACATAGCCCTCCCTTCTTCCCCCTCAGCTGATCTGCGCAGATCAGCTGTGGAGCAGGGTTAGGTCTCTAACCCACTCATCAAAGGACCAATCTGATGACCAAGACAGGAACAATTGAATTCACATCATCATCTGGGGGCTGGGCTGGGTGGAGATATTTCCCTTTGAAGGAGGAGGCTCATGGTCTGATAATTCTCCTTGTTCCAGCATTGTTGTTAGGTGTGGTCTCAGTAGAAAGCTGTTTTTCCAGCTCTGTCTGGTTTGCCAGCTATGGCCATTCCTGAAAAGGGACAGTCTAGCCTCTATGACTCATGCACTGACAACCTTGGGATTGGATTACTGTAATAAGCTGTATGTGGGGCTTGCTTTGAAGATGGTTCAGAAGCTACAGCTAGTGCAAAATGTGGCAGCTAGTCAGCTGACGGTTCAGGTCCTTGGAATCCTATTGCACTGATCTTGTGAGAGTTGCAATGGTTCCCAATTTGCTTGCTATCAAGCAAAATTCAAGGCACTAGTAATGACTTATAAAGTTCTAAAACATGCTAAGATCAGGTTCTCCTAGCTGTTCCTCATCCCAGTGACATCTGTTATGCAGCATTGAGGGACAGTCCTCTCACTCTTACTGCCATCACGGTATGTCCTTTCCCTTGAACTATGACTGGCACCAACACTGATAAGTTTCCAATGTTAACCGAAAACCACCTATTCCATCCAGCCTTTACAGGGGTGACCATCTGGCCAGATATTTATTATTCTTGTTATTGCTGCCCTTGCTGTGATTTTATCTGCTCCTTTTATTTTTGGGTTATGATTGTATTGGTTGATAACCCTCCCTGGTATCACATTATTATAAAGACTGGGTTAGAAATATAGATATTTAAAGGTTTTTTTTTTTTAAAAAAATATTTATTACAAACCATAGAAATCCCTCATTGACATCACTGAATGCCAAGTGATGTTGACACAGCTTATGCAGGATTCCATGGTTTTAGCCAGGAGTGCCATCAATTGCTACATATATTTTTTTGGTCTCATGAATACTTACTGAAAAATCACATGGGCAGCCACGGTTATCTGCAGAGGTTCTCTGCTGTGTGGGAGGGCATGTTGAAGGAAGGCTTTCTTCCTTGGGATGTCTCGGCATATAACTGGCCTTCTTTAAAAGGTGGTTGAGGCTTCCATGGGTTCCATTGTTGGGAGCCGGTGTCAAGCCGAGTAGATCTACAGTTGTTCAGAAAACAATGGCAAAGATGTTCAAAGGTGCACTTCTGCACTGCAGTCCACTTGCAAGTATGATCATGAAAATGCCATGTCTTTAGAATTTCTGACATTTTTAAATTATATCTATGCTGGTGGTCAACTGAAAGGCCCGCTGGAAGCAGATCATATGCATAAAAGTATAAGACAGTAAAATAAAGTAATCACACGCCACAGGTGGGTCTCCTGGGAGACAGAATTCCAGAGCCTGGGTACTACCACTGAGGAGGACCTCAGACGTTATTGAGATGTGAAGTTGTGCTTCCTCTAAAGATATCAGTGAGTAGGCAGACTCATATGGGAACAAGCAAATCTTTAAATACAGTATATTATAGTCTGCTCACTACCCAAGAAACACTGCCTGTCATATGTATAGAAGACAGCTTGGGATCTTCCGCCTTCTATAAGGCACACTTGCACACTGGCCAACCCCAACCCTGATTCAAGCCTACAGGAATAGTCTACAACTGCAAGAATTTCTCTCTCATTTCCTTCACAGGACAATAGCTTCACTGTTGACAGAGGTTCTAGAGGTGAAGCAAAAGCTTGGGCCCTTTGCAGGCTGTGATGCTGCTGCTAATACACGATAGGCTAAAATTCATTCCCTAATAAAAAGCAGTCCAATGCAGCCTCAAACTGACAGGGATTTCACAAGTGTGAATAGTATTTACAAACAGTTTTCTCCCAAAGAGAAGTCTGTGCACAGGGACAACCATTTCAATAAATGCACACTGAGAAAATGAGAGCGCTATTGATGCTAAGGGGAAACAAGCTATTAATCTGGATAATCAGGTCATCAAGGGCCGTGCAAGAGAGCTTTAATATACAGCTCCCATGAATCTGTATGTTGAGACTGCATTTCATCACTTGCAAAGTTTCAAAATGTAAGACAACAAAACATGTCTTTATGGTGAAGCTGAAGGCTTATTTGGCTTCTTGTCTATGTCCAATAACCCATGAAACCCATTAAACACTTATTTAAGTGTGGGGCAGTTTGCAATGGGTAGAGAGAGCTCCAAGAAAGGGGAAATATTAAGATATGGGAATCCTGAGAAGATGATACACGTATAGAAAGAGAGTGAATAGGAAGAGGACAAGAAGGGGCTAAAAAAAATGTAGGGTTATTGTTGTTAGATTGAAAATTGACGTGGGCAGGAGACAGCAGAGTCCAGCAGTTTCCCACTATAAGAAATGTATCCATAATGTGCATGTAAAAGTCCAGTCCAATCAAAAACTATTTTTTCCAAAAGCTTTGTGAGGTGGGGGGGGGGAGCAGCCACTTTACCATACCACACATTAAATTGTAGATCTCAATGTTTTCAAAGGGATCAACTTCATTTTGAATCTTGAATCCAGGTCCAAACCCAATAAACAGAGCCTAGAATAAAACAGAAATTATGTTTTATATGTATGAAATGAACATATCTCCCTCTCTCTCTCTCTCTCTCTCTCTCTCTCTCAGTGTGTAACACACACTCATTTGGAACATCCATTTAGGATGTAGTCCTTTTCTCATTTATCTGAGAATAGGCACGATTAATTCTATTTCTACTACTTCCATAAGGTTGCACTGTTAGTGTTTAACTAATAATTGCTAAATTGATCTGAATACAAATGCAGTCTAAGCTCATCTTAAATGATTCTCCGTTAAAGTTATTTCAGGGGAAATCGGAACAACCTTTCAACAGACTTCTCTACTTTAGACTGTGTGTATGAGAAATATATAGTTGATTCACATATATTTTTCAGAACTGTCTCCAGCAGAAGTAAACAGTGACTAATTATGCCCCTGTGTCTATGTAGCCCTTAAATTTATCTAAACATGTAAGACTGAGATAGCCCTTTTTAACGGCATACAGGAAACCCAGCTTTAAAAACAAAACAAAAAACCAAGTTTGATCTAACATTATCTGTCAGGAGGCTTACATTGTTGCAAATGTTCCAGTTGAGGTTCTTTTTTACTTTCTTTGAACAAATACAATATGTATTTCCTTGCAAATGTTATTGAAGTCATGATATAAATGTTATAATCTACCTTTATTCAGACTACAGCTGCATCCCTCAAGACAAACAAAAGCAAATAACAGACTACTACATTCAAGGCGAGTGAGTTTCTTATCTCTTGTGGTAATTTTTTTTTAACAGCTGTTATTTGTGCAGCCACTGCTGTTTGTGATAAAGAACATTAGCATGCCATGCTTCTCGGTAACAACAGATGTTCCTACAGTAAAGATCTTAAACTACTACTTGTCCCCTGCAAAGACCATTCTTTTGAATTCTCATGCAAGTTGCACATTTAATAAAACCAAGATCTAGCTGTAAGACTGCTCCAGTCACCAGAAAAATCTAGCAGACAAGAGCTGATACAAGGATGATACCTGTGCCATGCATTTGGACTACATACTTTGCAGATGTACAGAAGAATAAATGTTGGGTTACCCAGTATCATCCCACCCCATCACACTCGGAACAGGACAGAATCTGCAATTTAAAGTAAGATAAATGCCATATCTCTGGCATTTCATAAACGTATGGGTTCTTGATCCAAATATCAAAAGTGAGATAATTTAAAATGCTGGCTGGCAAGATATAAAATTCTTCACCTACAACCTGAATTTGGAACAGTCCCATGAAAGCAATACAGTGGGGGATCTTTTAAAGATATATAGATGAGCTCGCAGGGGCCTCCCAGCCCCATATTACAGGTAACTGGAATAAGCCTAAGTAGGCAGGACACAAGTCTAGATGGCAAGGAGGGTCAGTGGTCAGGCATGAGTGAGAAACATAGAGGGAGCATGATAGAGATCCCAGCATCAAAGCTACCCTAGGATCATTAAAAGCATTGGAAGCGCACAGAGGGGAGAGACCCTATTTACCTGCATATTTGCAAATGCATTGTCTGACCCATGGAATCCACCAGTGCAATACTTGAGCTCAGAGGGCATCCTACAAAACACAGACATGAATAGATAACTGGCAATACCTGCCAACCGGCATTACAGAAAAAGCTTGACTAGCGCAACCACTGACCCTCAAACCTTCCTTTTTCACAATTTGTTCCTCTTCCTACTATTCAGAGCACCATTTGCTGAGACTATGTAATGCTGTTTCCATTGTCATAGCCAAGGGCGGCGGAGGGGAGGCCATCCTCCCATCAAGTAAATAAACAAAAATACTTAACTGAGGTTTTGCCGCTGCCCCGCCCCCCCTAAATCCTAGCTATGGCCATGGATGCTTCTCAAATCTCTTCATTAGCTTCTTTTCCCTTTCCATATCCAGGACTAACTCCTTGTCCTGCTCCTTAAAATTCTTCTAACCAGCAAAGCTCAGCCTCAAAATCCAACAAACTAGCAGAAGGGAAAACTCAAGAAAGGTTACAAATATATAATTTGATCCCACTTAACAGAAATAAGCAACAAAACTCAGAAACATACGATTTGTGTTACGGTGCTGGAATGAAAGAATGCTTCCATGCACAAGCAGAGTTCATGGGCCCTGTAAAAAAATTAAATTTTCATAGCCAGGAAAGAAAGAGTGGCCACTTACCGAGCAAGCTGCCATTGCTGGTCCATATAAAAATGCACTGGCTCAATCCGGTCATTCTTGGCATAATGAAATCGCTTGGGGAGCAGTTGCTTCAGGTATGCCTTGAAAGGTTGATTTGGAACCAAGCACTGAAAATGTTGAAATTAAAAACACATATTTAACCCCGTTACGCTTGCAAATTTTAAGTGTTCCCAAATGGAAACACTTGAATAACTCAAACAGTAAACCTATTCAAATTCTTCTATAGAAAACTTTCAGGTCCCCTTCTCTCTCTCTCTCACCCCATCATAGGAGCCACTTCCATGTGATCTGGTGTCATACCCACAAGGGTAAGCCCGATAAAGAACGTAGCTATAATTTTACAACTGGACAGAGAGTCATGACTATACTTACTGTAAGGTTTCTTACAATGCCTTCGTAATCAACTGGAAGAGTTAGATGAAATAATTAGTTACCTAAAGGTCAAAAGAAAAATGAAAATAAAGGATGTCCTAATAAGTCATGGTGATTTAAAAACTGCACAATACTTCATATTCCTTAGCAAGCAGTCATGGCTCTCTCTTTTTTGCCATAGCCTTATCCACACCAAAAGCAACTCTTTACCATACAGCATAGCACAAGGGTGTCAAAAACAAATGTGGCCAGTCCCATGCTGGCATCAGGCAGACTTGGCTGAAAAGCTCTCCAATCGTTCATTTAACACACAACTTACTTGAGTAATGTGAGATTTCTCTGAGTGCTCAGTACATTAGTTAAACATAGAGAAGTGTCTAAATAAATAAAAACAAGCAGCAACTGTCATCTTTCTGGAACCTACTTGAGTTTTGTGTTCTTTGAAATATCATGCCCTTGGTATGAAACAGTTCAATTGCTTTAAAATGTGCCAGCTCTGTATTTTCCCCCAAAAGAAATCAATTGCATTTATTCACTTCTGCGAAAGAAAGTTAAGAGACTGTGGACTAAAAATGCATCATGGAATTGTAGATTTCGAAAAGGCCACAAGTGCCATCTACTCCAACTCCCTGCAATGCAGGAATCTTTTGCTCAATGTGGGGCTCGAATTTATGACCCTGAGATTAAGAGTCACATGCTCTACCAAAGTATGATTACATGTGGCATCTTATTGTATTGTATTATATTGATAGAATACTGGGGTTGTGCCTCAAGATAGTCAGTGGTTGCATTTGTATATAACCCTGGCCATCAGCTGAATGAAGAAGATGCCTGCAAAAACTAGAGTTCTTTTTTACCTCCCCACATCCAACCAGCTTAAGTGTTCCAAAACACTTAAGTTATGTCTTTCGAGTGATTAAATCACTGAAGAGTTGTCATAGAGAAGAGCTCCAGTGCAATGATGCATTGTTCTATAATTTTTGCTGCAATCTTTACCTCATTGACCTGGGAATGAGCCCCACTGAATTCAATAGGACTTACTTCTGTGTATATATGTTTAGGATTGCACTCTAGATGCTTATAAGTTGTTTCAGATACAGGTAATGAACACAAATAATTCATTTATTTGTTCAGTTTCCATTTTAACCTGCTCTTTGGTCAAACAAAGGTCAACCATTCCCAGGACTGAAGCAGGAGAGAAGCTTGACGTGGTTATTTTGTTATGGACCTCTTGTAGTACAGGCTCGTTCCAATATTTATTTTGCTGTACTTTGAAAGTTGCAACGCACACAAATAAGTAGTATAAATTAGTCTAGTAGTTACATACAAGAGTAATACTCATCTGGAACTTTTTGGGGTCTCAAGCGAGCTGCAGGTCCAGGTACTACAAACAAGTCTTGAACGCTATCCAAGTATGTATTTAGGTATGTTGATTTGCTGCAGCTTGCTGCCTCCATTCCTTCAAAGAAAGAAAGAAAGACTCTTTTTAAGAATAGCTCACTGAGACAACATAGCTCACCAAGCAAAATTACTAGAAAGACATGAACAACAAATGAATGGCACAATCCTGTACATGTCTACTCAGAAGCAAGCCTCATCAAGTTCAATGGAACTTACCCCCAGATAAGTGTGTATAGGATTGCAACCTTAGTAGTATAAATAGACTTTGACATTTCAATAACAGAACAATCCAAAACTACAGGAAATGGTGTAACTTCTGCCGGGTCGCTAGATCTAATGAAAGAGCTGAAGGAGGTTTGGGATCAGGGTCACGCTGCCATTTCTCCCTCCTGCTCCAGCCACTCCCCTGGGTCACCCCCTTTTTTTTGGCAGTGTGGGGGTTGGCGGGTTATGCTCACTTAACTTATGCTGCTCATCTGAGCCAGGGTGGAGAACTTATACTGGCATAGCCGCAACGCAGTTGGGACAACCCAAGAGCTGCTGGATCCAATCTCCCCACCCCAGCAGGTTGTTTCGATTGTACCATAAATGTTGTAATTTGTTGCCTATGTTTTTGTTTCTCCACCTCAATCCTAAACATGGAAGTAAGTAACTGTGACTTAAACTGGATTTACTTCCATTTATTCTGGACCTTTCTGAGATACTGATATGAGATATTACAAATAATGAAGAGTATGAACCAAATCAAGTTAGAGAAAATATGTATTCATTCACACCTAAAATTTATAGGCTGCACTGTAACCACAGTTCTCTGGGTAGCTCAACACAAAATTACAGTAAAACAAAATATAACCAATAAAACACCAGAATATTGAAAAATATCCTTATTATTTGTTTATTTGTTTTTAAAAGAAGTGTTCAAACAAGACCTGCATCATTTAAATAAGCTTACCATGATCAGAAAGCAGAATAATGTTAATGCAATTGTGGAGGTTCATCTGCTTAAGTCCATCCATCAGTAGCCCAACCATGCTGTCTACTCTCTGTAATGCAAGAATGACCTGCAGGAAAAAAACAAAAAAGGAGAGGCAAAACCAATGATAACTTAACATGTAAATAAATGTTAATGGCGATTAATATTTTCAATATTTCAACAAGTTACTCACTTAGAAAAAACGTTTCTCTCTAGGCCTGCAGCCTGACATACATACACAGAAACAAACTGAAATCTAGACTGGTATTTTGGAAAGCATCACAAATATAGTTAGAAGAAAGATGTGTCTTATTTTTTATATTTCATGACTTAAATTAAGAGGTTGTCAGTTACATGTAATACACCATGGCCCGGTTAATGCATAATGCTAAGCCAAACCATGGTTTACAGCACAATCCTAACCATGTCTTTTCAGAAGTACGTTTCGTTGAATTCAGTGGGGCTTACTCCCAGGTAAGAGGGGTGCAGATTGCAGGCTTAGTCTGGGGTAGCACAGCAGCAGCAGGACCAGAGAAATTCACACTATGCCATGGTTTAGCTGAGCATTAGGTGTGAACTGGGAAGTGCTGTTTTTAAAATGCTGCTTATGTACATGTAAGCTTCCAACAAATCTCTTTTTTAAAAAAATCACATCCCTGAGCAATTGCAGAACTCAACATTAAAACCAAAAGTAAAATAATATGAAGTTACTTACTTCACTGCTAACTGGTCCATATCTGTGGCCTGAGGAATCTGGTTCTTCTAAATACAGAGTGTAAAGGTGTGGTCTATATCAAACAGCACCAACATTTTAATATTTTACATATAAATTCAGAGAGAAGTGTGGAAATATTTAGATTCAATATTATTTATGAGAAATAAGTGTGCACCAAGAACAAGAAAGGGACTTGCAACACCTTACAGAATAGCTGAATATCCTAGCTTACATATATTAGAGAACAGGTGTGCCACACCAACTAAGAGAACAGAATGAGTTATGAATCAAGAAATCTCCAGTTTGAATCTCGCCTCTGCCATAAACTCATTAAGCAGCCTTAGGCAAGCCATTCTCCCTCATCCTTAGTCATGCCTCCCCAGATGAGAGATATGAAGAGTAACAAGGACTGAGAATGCACTCCTAATCCTGCTACTGTTTGGCAGGTTTAATGGAGCAGTGGGGGGCCCACCACATTTACATTCACAAGGAAAGGGGGGAGAGAAATTGCTCCAGCAGTTGGGAGATGGTACATTGATCAGCCCTGGATCGGGGGCAATGCCATCACATGATGGCTTGGAATCAAAACAAATCCTCAGCTGGCTCAGCCCCTCCCTAGAGTTCTCTGCTGGTTGCCACTGCCAGGAAACTCACTAGAAGCACTTCCTGCTGCTCTTGTGTTTGGCAGGCAGAATGGGGAACTCTGCACACAGGTGGCACACAGGGCTGGGCAGAGGGACATGTAATCCAACCCCAGCCCAGTGCAAATGGGGTTTTAATCTAATCTGCCACTTAAGCGGGTTAAGATTATAACTAGATAATGCATGAAAAGTACTTGGAAACCCTTCAAAATGCATGAGAAGTACTTTGGAACCCTTGAAAGTGCTACACAAATGATGATAAATAGTGTGTGTGTGTGTGTGTGTGTGTGTGTGTGTGCACGTGAAAGCTTTTTTCTCCATGAAAGCCTGTGCTGCAATAAATATGTAGGGCTTTATGGTGCCACAAGACCTTTCATCGCTTTTTCTGCAACAGCTTAAAATAACTATGGCTCTGGAAACTGTTTGTTGTTCACTGAAGCAAAAACAACAAAACCTGTGGTTCAGTGCAGCCCAACCCCATAAGCAATGAGTGGGCTGAACTCACAAGCAGATGTGCATATGGTGGCAGCCTAAGACCACAATCCATGCAAAGTCAAGCACACATGAATCCTGCTGATTTCAATGGGAAAGTGAAATGTGTACTCAAGTATCTGCCACTGAAAATTAAAGGGGATTAAGTGCTGATCATGCTGTAACAAATGTACTTTGCTGCAAGACCCTATTTTTTCACATGTACCTTCTTCAGATGCTGCATCAGTACAGTCTTACTATGGAAGCTCATGCCACAACTAATGTGTTACACTTTAATGTACCGCCACACTGTATATTGCTACCACAGCTACACATCTGGAGTTAGAAACTGAATACATATCTTACAGGGAGATGGAAACAGGCGTAACTCGGTGGTCTTGCTAAAATGCACAGAATTATGAAGTGATGGATGTCCCCAAGATCCCACAAGCAGAATTCTGCCCAAGGGATGCTTCTGCTGGTAGATGAAGGAGTGGATTCCATCATTTCTCCTTCTGCTGTGCTTCCCCTTGGCCTTGGAAATCCACTCCAGAGGACCAGGGGAACCCTCCAAAACAGTGAGGGAGGTGGCAAGAAGGATGGTGGAGAAAAAAGGGAAGCAGCAAAAATTTCTTCCTTCCCATTTCTGCCAGCAGGAGTCTCCGCAGGGTCAAATATTGTTCTGTTTGTGGAAGAGCCCAGTTTGGATCCAAGGCAAATAGCATTCAAGTTAATCATTGTCCTGGTTTGCTAACAGTCCTAAGCACAAGTATAGCTTTGAAATGTCATGCTTACCTTTCCTCTTCTGGTAACTGTAGCCATTTAAGAAAAGTCATTACTCTTTCTCCATATGGCACTGACCTAAATAATAAAACAAAACAAAACAAAACAAAACGACTTCAGCTCCAAAACACGGTGACCAGGTATTACCCATTAAATCTGTACAGGTGGATTCTGTTGTCCTCAGACCATTTTTTAATGTTTGTGTATCTGCACTGAAGTACCTGCTTTATTTATTAGTATTTAAAGGTAAAGGTAAAGGTACCCCTGACTGTTAGGTCCAGTCGCAGACGACTCTGGGGTTGTTGTGCTCTTCTCGCTCTATAGGCCAAGGGAGCAGATGTTTGTCCGCAGACAGCTTCCAGGTCATGTGGCCAGCATGACTAAGCCACTTCTGGTGAAACCAGAGCAGTGCATGGAAATGCCGTTTGCCTTCCCACCGGAGTGGTACCTATTTATCTACTTGCACTTTGATGTGCTTTTGAACTGCTAGGTTGGCAGGAGCTGGGAGTGAACAACGGGAGCTCAAACCACTGACCTTCTGATCGGCAAGCCCTAGGCTCTGTGGTTTAGACCACAGTGCCACCTGCATCCCTTTGTATTTGCTTTGTATTAATTCATTTGGTCTGGGATTCATTGGTGGGGATGATGAAGAGAGGAGGTAAAGATAGCTGAGTTGCAGTTCTAAAGAAAAAGATGGGTAGAGGCCAAGTGAAAGGCCATTTCTGTGGAAGATAGACATGGATGAGACATAAATCAAGTATGGATTGGATGAGCCTGCCTTGTTAAAGCAAAAGAAAAACAAATGACTATTTGATGAATTGAGGAATATGTTCTATTGTGATATTGGTAGAAGAAATAAGATGTGCTATTTCAAAACTTTTTTAAATTTCTGGGTTTTTTGTATTTGTTGTTCGTCAACTTAGAGACTCACCCATTGTATACTTTATAGATGTCTGGAAAACTTCCATTAACGGCGACATCTGAACCAGGCCAGAAGAACGTGGCAGATTTTAGTCCTTGATACATAGCTGTCAACCAGATCTGTATGAAAGGATAGACAATTGCTATTCATTAAGTCTTTCTAATGATGAATTTCGTGAACTTTATTTTAAAGCTATTTATAGTAACATGGAGAGATACGTTTTACCAGGTCAGGTCAGGTCAGTGACCCATGTGGCTCAGAGTTGTCTACTTTTACTAGCAGTGAGTTCAGATGTTCAGAGGTCTCCTGCTCCCTCAAAGCCCTCTGCACTGTTTGTCCCTTGCCATCCTGTATACTTAAAACTGCCTCCTGGAATGCCCGTGTGATACCGCCTCTGTTCCTTCCTCTAAATCATTCCCCAAAGACCAACCTTTTCTATGAAGCTGTTGGCTCAACTCTCTAGTTCCTATGCTCTTCTCTAATGGGGCCTACAGCCATCCACACATTTCCAGCTTAAAACACAGGTAAGTTGTTCTTTCTCTCAAATCAGATCAATTGATGTGTGGGTGTTGGGGAACTATATCCAAAAAGGTTGTCTGTTATAATAAACAACAGGATAGAGATGGGGTGTTATTCAACTAAGTTTGACTCAGAGTAGACACACTGAAATTAATGGACCTAATGGATTGCAGGTAACGTCCTTTCTACACCACTTGCCAAAGCAGTAGTGGGAATGGACTGACCGCAGAATAAACAGGACTGTGTACACAGCCTCTAACTAAGCTTAAGCATGTGAAACTGAAACAGCTGCACCAATGAGGAATCAATAAACTTCTAGTCTTTACCTTCAAACCCTCCATGGCCTTGGTCTCTTATACCTTTACTGACATATCCTTTCCTGTTGATAGTCAGTTATCCAGTTCCATCACCTGTTCCCTGAAATGATTCTGCCCTTTCTGCTTTGCTGTCTGTCTGGAACTGTTTCACAAGGCACTTTTATGCAAACACCTTCCTTAATTTCCTTCAAACCCACCTTCAACCACAGTTCCAAAGATTAATTGTAATTAATACAAACATGTGTAATTGAAATAACTGGATAGTTCAATCCTGACTTCAGTTCCCTCCCCCCATCTCTTTTGTCTGTTTCTCTTGCCCTGAATTTCAGACTGTAAGCTCCTTGGGGGCAGGGACCTGTCCTCTTGTGCTCTGAAAAGTGCCATGCACACTGATGACACTATATAAATATAGCAATAGTATAAATACATATTCAGTTAGAACAGGTTCCTTTTTTAAAAAAAGATAAATAAAAGCAAAAGATACTTAAATTTTCAATTCTTTCATGGGTTGTTGGCATATATTATATAATATATTGGCATATATCTTTTGGCAGGAAGGGCAGGATATGAAATAAGTAAAATATAATATAATTAGCACTTACTGGCTGTCCTTGGTACCACTGTGGATTAAACTTCTCTTCGTTTCTGAGAGTGAAGATAGTATTTCTCTTTGGGTCATACATTTTATTATCCACTAGACCATGGGATTCTGGGTATAAGCCCTGAAAAATAAGATTGATTCATTGCATACATATCAACATTGCTTCTGCTTCCAACCATCTGGGGACAAGGGACTGTATTTGAGCAATAACACTTGCAGGTCCAACCAACTTGACATATTGCTTATCTTTACCAATCTCTCCCTATAATGTACAGCCCCACCAGAGTTTGGGGTGCTTGTAGGGCGAACTCTCCATTCACACAGGACACACCTCTTAATGAGTGTGGGAAGATTAACAAAGAGGCAGTGTTAATTTGAAAGGCAAGAGAGACAGAACAAGAAAGAGGGTAAAGAAAGGCTGGGATGGGAATGGTATTTCAATTAGCATCATGGACTCAAGGGGTGGGGAGAAGATATGAAAAGGGATGGACTGCTTTCATATTTTTAAGTCACTGAGTTTTTGGAAAACAAAAGGTTAAAATATACTTTAAAAAAACTAGCCAAAAGATATCACATTACACACATGTATAATGTTAGAAACATAAGTGTTCTGCTTCACCAGATTTTGTCTAAGGGCTCCTTCAGCAAACGTCTTTATTGAGAGTTCATCCCGATTTGCCTCCATGAAGCTTAGGTGGTGGTTACCTTTGTCCAGTCCCAATTGAACATTTGTTGTTTATGGGCAGTTATATGAAAATGAACATTCATCCTGCATTCCTCCTAATTTGGTTGGGAGGGGGTTTACACACCTTCCTGTTAATCGTTTATTCACCCCATCACTTTCCAAACCACAAAATCTGTGGTTGTTTTTAAGTGAATTCATTGCACTAGAATTACAGAGTACTTTAATCCACTTTAATTGTGCAAATATAAAGCTCTGGTATGTGACTGAATCTCTTCCACAAAGTACTGACAGTCACAAGGCACCCTAAATGGTTATGAGTCTCTAAAGGGTAGTCAAAATGGTGATTCCAAGATGTTGTTAAGACTCCAATTCCCTGCTACCACTGCTCTCAACATACAGACGTTCAGGCTTGGGATTTATAGTCTTACTTAGGGGTAAGTGCTAGTATCCAGGTGATAAAAAGATGATAACAAGGCTTAATTTGCTTTTTTCAGGACACTGATCTAATGTTTTACTTAAGAAATGGCATTGACTGAGGAATCTGAATTTGAGGGAAGCAGTCACCAGGCACTTCCTGAGACTGTGAGAATGGCTAGTTATTAGCAAAAGGATAACGAGATTCATTAACTACCCCTTTTAGTCTCCGTCAGCTATCATGCACAAAGCAACATGAAAGCTCTGCCTTAGGCAAGCAACTAATTTCTTCCTCCTCCGCCCCTGCCCACCTCTCTGAACTGGTCTGCCTCCTTGGTATTAGCATCTAGGCATTTCACAGGTACACATTTGCATTATGCATTTTCTGCAGTTATCCTTCTGTTTCCCACAAGAATCCTTACACTATTAACAAGCAATGGAACTTGAGAGCCAAAATTCTCTTAAAACGTGCTGACTGCAATATTGTACAACAGCTCTGTTACTAATGATATGAACTGAAAATGAAATAGAATGAAATCCACTTTCTTCCTCCATAGGTTTTGTGTGTGTGTGTGTGTGTGTGTGTGTGTGTAGGAATCCCAAGATGCTCTTACCGTGACAATGCTGTAATGATTGGGAAATGTTTTTGATGGATACACTGGTCTCATGCCATGAGCGTATGTTCCACATTTTCCTTTTGTAGGAAGCAAAATAAAATTAGAATTGTCTAACAATGCCACATTGACAGATAATATATTTTTTCATACAAATACTTTACAAAGTTTACAAACTTTACTGCATTTACAGATTGGTAGCTGGTTGGAGCACAACTGGCTTGCGGTGACAACGAGTGGCAACTATATTCACATAAACTGTCTGGGGGAGCCATGGGGAGTTCCTCCCAGACAACCACAACCGTATAGCAATTTGTTGCTGTATAGCAAATCGCTACCACATAGCAATATGAATGCGTCAACTGACCCTCATAAACATAAAGAGAGTAAACATCATATAGGAACTTTTGACGCTAACAGTTTTCCACTTTAGAGTCCTGCCTCTTGTGGTTTTCAGTTTATGACCACTCTACATTGCTGGATCAATAAACTAAATCTTTAGAAATCTACAGAGACAGTCTTTGGTTTCTAGTGCTAACTTAAAAAGAAAACAAATAATCTCCAGAACTTTTACTACCATAAACACATTCTAAAGAATGCACTTCTCATCTCATTTATTAAAGTAACATGCCATTCATTGCCACTCTGAAATGGGTAATCGTGGTCAAATGAAAGGTACCTTGATAGGAGTCCTTCTGGGCTTTTATTAGGCCCCATGACCTTATTCCTTCACTCCTCATACTCTTTTCACACTATGGGCTTTTCAGGTTAAGGAGCAATAGTGGATGGCAGAGCAGGGTGATGGCACTTGCCTGACCTTCCAGCAGAGGAATCAATGCCACCAGATCCTGCTGGCGTGTTTGCACTGTGCTGGCCTCGCCACAGCCTTGTACCTCCCATTCTCCCTTCAGGTAAGCGCTGCTACCCTACAACCCACTACTATTAAGAAGGGTGAGGAAGCATTAGGTAAGACTTGAAAGAAGTCCAGCTGACCCTCCTAGGCAAATCCACAAGGTCATTCCTTACTGTATATTCAAATAAATGAGATTTTCAGAAACTAGAGATGCAAACATTTTGCTTCTTTAATTCAGCTCACGGAAAATATTCATCTCAAAATTAAAGTATCCAACATCCCCTCTGTCTCAGAATGATAGGAGGCTACAGGCTCAAAGGTTCAGAACAGGGTGGCCAACATGATGTTATTGGACTCCCAACTCCCATCAGCCTTAGGCAGCATAGTCCATGGTTAGGGATGACAGGAGTCTGGAGGGCACCACACTGACTACTTTTGCTTTAGAGTTTTTAGACCAATGCTACATCATGTCACCTTCCAAATGAACTTAGCCTGTGTTTATGTGACAGCTGTAGCTAATAAACATAGCAAAAGAAAGTTGTTCTAGAAACTGGTTTGTGTGCATGTGTTTGTACCTGTTCCCTGTTCTGATTAGCAAGCTAATTCAGCATAAATGCTTACATTATTGTAAAATTAGAAATACTGTGCTGTTGCCAAAACATGTCCACTAAGCACTTGTCTCTCACTCTCTTTACAACTTTTTAGATATCTAAACATTTAAACAAAGAACTGCCACGGAATTACTATGTTGCTAAGTTACAGGCTAATTCTGCCCCCTGAATTTTTATATAGTCAATCAATGCCCCATTGTTTTCTTAGTATGCTGCATACCACAGCATAGACTTAGCTCTTGCAGTGCTACACACCACTATGCATAATGGATTTGATCCAGAGATATGCAAGCACAAGTATACTGGTGCAATGGAGCTTTCACGCACAATGGAGCTTTCCATCTCCCCACTGCAACTTTCTATAACACACACACACACCGCAAAACAAGAACACCCACTGCTCCTGATGAGATAGGACACAGGCACTAAAGCAGGGTGGACAGATAGAGGGGAACAGGAAGAGAAGTCAACAGGAACAATTTAGGTGAGCAAAACTGCCTTCTGTTTACATACAGGACTTTCTGGACTAAAATCATAGGCTTTACCTATAACAGCTTTAAAACAGGCTTGTTTGGCTCACTTCAATCTGGCAGAAGCCCCCGCTGGAGGTGAGGGATGACAGTGGTTTCCACCAATTCCTCTTCCCCTTTTGCTACCTCCTTTGTATTCTGGAGATTCCCAGCCACCCTTCTGGAGCAGATTTACAGAAGGTACAGGGGGCTAGAGGGAAAAGCAGGGGTTGTCTTGTCTCTCCACCCCCCCAACTCTCCCACCTTGAAATTCAAATAAATAAACCATGTGTTGGGCATTTGTTGTGTGAGTTGCTGCTTTATTTTTTTTAAAAAATCAAGTCAACTGAAATTCTTGCTGACTATATTCTATTTTTAACATTCTTCTGCCCTCATCCCCAATACTAACTCCTTAAGAGTCCAAAAGTCTTGTCTCGCCAAATTTTTCCATGTTTTGAACTGTGGTCACTTTCAAAATGATCGCAGTCCAGCCACAGTAACAGTTGTCTAATCATGCCTGCCCTTCATAGAATCCAGGCTTGGCTTCATCAAAGTCTCTCTTGTCTTTTGACTCATCAGCCGCTATAAAACTGCCACCCTCATTTGGGTCAAAATGAGTTTACGGGAAGTGTGAGAAGCTCATGAGAGCAGACAACATGTTCAAGGGGAAAGCACTGTTTAGATTTATTATTACATTCTTAATAGATCAACATGCTGTGGCTCAGACAGAGAAGCTACTCACGTAATTTGTTAATAACAGGAAGAAGTCTACCCCATGTGTGCAAATACTCAGCTCTGAATCCATCCAAGGAAAACAGCAACAGTGGAGGTTTTGAAAACCTGAGCAATTAGAAATGAGACAGTTAAAGGCAAGAATTTATTAGCTGTTCACTCTTTCTCCAAGTACTCTTTACGCCCCTTTGGGTGCTCTCCCCCATGTGCTCATAAATAAGAGAGCGGGACCACACCCAATGACCCCACACATGCCATCAAGTCCCTGCTGTCTACAGATTGAAGGGAAAGTCTGAAGAGGAGAGCCACTCTATATGCTTATGCTTCCCTGTGACCCAGGATCCTTTGAAAGGCCAGCAGAGACGCAAAGGTGAGGGCAGGAACCAGCAGCCCTCAGTCACCTGCTCCACAATTTGTTTGACACCTTGACAGGCACCAATCTCACCAATTCTAATTTTTAAAAGCCACACATTTAGATAAATTCAAGGTATACCTCCAAACCCTTTTTCATTGTGTGAAAAGACTGAACATCTAGACCACGGGTAGGCAAACTAAGGCCCGGGGGCCGGATCCAGCCCAATCGCCTTCTAAATCCAGCCTGCGGACGGTCCAGGAATCAGCGTGTTTTTACATGAGTAGAATGTGTCCTTTTATTTAAAATGCATTTCTGGGTTATTTGTGGGGCCTGCCTGGTGTTTTTACATGACAAAAAATGTGTGCTTTTATTTAAAATGAATCTGTGGGTTATTTGTGGGGCATAGGAATTCATTTTTGTTTTGTTTTTCAAAATATAGTCCAGCCCCCCACAAGGTCTGAGGGACAGTGGACCGGCCCCCTGCTGAAAAAGTTTGCTGACCCCTGATCTAGACGAAAGAGCGCTGAATACATAGCAAGGAGCATAATGACATATGCTACAAAAAATGTTGCCGGGAGCCTAGCCAAAGGCAACTCTAGTGCAATAAATATGCTGGAAAGTTCATTTATCTCCTTGGTAACTACAATGAGACCTTTCCATTTATTTGCTTCGTAAAGTTAGTTTCCACATTTTAGAAAGAATGGTACCCACAAGGCACAGAAATCAAATAAATATAGAACAATAACATATTGTTAATTATAATTTAATAAATATATCCAAGTATCATATAGTGCAGTGGAAATGATATGTTAAAAGCATATAATTTAAACTAGGGTTATCATTAGAAGTAATAAATATTGCAAGTAATAACTAGTAAAAAAAATACATTCATACAGAAATCAGTCCCTGTAAAACCTTAATATTACAATACAATCACATTGTTGGAGGGACAGTGAGGAGTGGTGATGGGGAATGGCATTCCTAAAGGGTTGTCATTAAAGAGAATGGTAATCACTTGATGTTTATATAAGAGATGCTGTAATGAGCTCAGACTGGAGCCTGAAAGATTTAGGAAAAATGTCTGGGAAACCTGCGGAACTGGTTGGGCACTGGGTAAGCTAATTAATTAAAAGAATCTCGATCACTGGGGATCTGTAAGAACAGGATGCAAAAATAAGAGACTGCATTAGTTTTGATGGACTTGACACATTTAGCTAAAATAGTTGGGTGATCTTTTAAGTTTACCTAGGTATTCGCTATATACCAAAGTACCCTCTATTGGAGAGGAGTGTTTAATAAGATAGAGGTGCTTCAGGCAGGTTTTCTGCTGCTAGCTGTGGATTTGGCTTAATGATCAACCTCTCTAAGTCAAATGTAGTGATGAAATGTACCAATGTTTTCTGAAGAAAGTGTGAAAGGAGTTCCGTACTTTTCTTATGAGCGTCACCAAATCTGTTCTAAACCTGTCATCTCAAAAAAAAATGGGCACAAAACACAAACAAAGGCTGAGAGAATATCCTTGGGATTGGGGTTAAGTACCCAGAAGTCTCATATTTCTATAAGAATGTTGTGCATTTACTTTTCAGCAGGCAGCTGATTGTCTTCTGTTTAGTTTTTAGCCATCATTCCTTTTCTCTTTTGCAAGTTGGATAGCACCTCCACACACATGCTCTTTGTTCCATACTAGAGTTTATTTTATAGTCAACGAAACATCTAAATAGCAGCAGATTTTATTGTGGTAAGGCTGTTCTCTGAAGCACATTTGGTGGGAGGTAAGATTCATCAATGGCTACTAGCCATGATAGCTATGGTGCCAGAAGTGGAGTGTCTTGAATACTAGCTGCTGGGAATCACAAATGGGAGGGGAGTACTAGGCTTCTGTCCTGCTTATGGACAACCCAGAGACACCTGGTTGGCCATTGGGAGAAAAGGAGGCTGGACAACATGGTCCTTTGGTCTGATCAGCAAGGTTGTTTTAATGTTCCACTGAAATTAGTAGGACTTCTGAGAAAAATGGCTAAGCCTGAAGTGTTAGTTTACACACACACTCTCTCTCTATATATATATAAAATCTTTTTTGGTTATATTCCTCAGGCAGCATAAGAGCTTCAAATCAATGCCTAGTGCCAATTTTTTAACTGAATGAAATGTCTAGCCAATTTAAAATAACAGGTTGGGAAGTAACTTGTTTCTTTTTGCAAATTGTCTTCTGGTTTGGCATTGGCAAGAAAAACCTCAAGTTAAATATAGTACGCTACTCATCCAAACTGTTTCCCTTTGGTCATATGTCAATCAGTTTGCCTCATATAAGTGACTGTTATGTCCAAGAAGATTGATAGCTTTGCCTTGTTTACAGTGTTCACAAACATTGAGAACGCATCCAGACAAAACACCAGGATTCTCCATTCCAGAAAAAGAGGCAAAGCAAAACTTCAGTCAGAGCTTATCAAATTGCACTACCTTGCTCTACAAAATGACAATGACTTTTCTCACACTGAGTGGACTTGGGTTAGCTGCTGTCACTGAGAACATGCATGCCTCTGACACCAGACTTGTAAACAGGAGATACACTCCAGGAAATACATTTGATGGCTGAAAAACACTAGCCTTGGCAACTTTGAAAATTAGCAACTGTGAGGGTATGTGATTGCTTTTAAATGTTCTTAGATATCCTAAATATTTTTAGATAGTTTAAAAATTGTTTTGAAATGTTTCAGTTGGTCTTTAAATTGTTTTAAATATATTTTGTTTTGCTTTAAATTGTATTGTTTTGACTTTTTTATGTTTGCACCCTGGGCTCATTTGGGATGCAGAGTGGGATGGGAATTTGTTGAATATTTATTTTAACTGGCTATATCATTTAAACTGGCCCATATCATATGCCGAGAAGGGCAAAACACCTCCAAATGTGATACTGATTCCTTCTCGGCTGCTCTTTTGATTCTCAGTAGGTAAGATCCAGTCCAAGTTATATATATTCAGGCAACAATCCTATATGCACTTACTTGGAAATAAGTCCCCTTGAACAAAGTGAGACTTGCCCTACTAGAAATCCAACAGGAATCCATGGGATTAATGTGTCTAACTTTAGCTGGGTCTCTTCCACTAACATTTGTGTTTATGCTTGTGGGAGCAATGACTAATTCTAGCTGGAGCACAAAAAGTCTGAATACAACCAGTCTGGGCCAAGCTTTATGATGAACAGCTCAATCCTCATAATCTCATTTAAAAATTATGGAAAACTGGGAAAGGATCAATCTGGAAGAATGGTTTAAAGCATAGGTGGCTGTTCATTGATGGCTGTTCAGATGTCCAGCTTCCATCAGCCTCAGTGAACATGAATCTGGGCCAGGAAATGAGCAGGGAGCCAATGCCAAGGCTAATATATATGAAGAGAGAAACTTATGTCAGGAAGGATGGCAGGGATGAGAGAATGTGACACCTTCAGACATTGTTGCACAACCACTACAGAAAGATTTACAGTGCCACAGCACCCTCTCTTTTTTAGAAAGATGCAAAAGATATACTGATTCTTACCCTTCTGGGCACTGGGGTTCATTTAAGTCCTCACATTTTTCTTCAAGCCAGCTTGTCCTTCCTTATTTTCAAAAAGAAGGATATCAGTATATTATTCAATTGTTAGTAGCACTAGTAGCATTCTGTTATTTGAAAGGGAAAAACTGACTTGATATGCAAGTATGGTAAGTTAAAAGCAATGCATTTCCTGAAATTGAAACCCATCAACATGGTCATTTAATGCATTCTTTTAAAAAAAAAAAAAAATTAGGAGTACAACTTCTAGGAACTCATTCTAAGATATAGGTTGGGAGCCAAAGAACTGTGGGATTGGGGCTTCTGTTTCTTGAAGAAGCTGCCAATCGCAGATGGTATGTTGCCCTTCCCCTACTCACCTACCCACTGGTCCGTCATATTGCTGCTGCTTATCTGGAGGTTGGCACAGGAAGGGCCAAGCAACAGGGAGCTTGGCATGGCACAAATGCACCAGCAGGAATGTCAGATTGGTTCTGCAGGTGTGTTTGTACTGCACTGACCTCACCACTATCTTCCACTCTATCTCCTAGTATGTAGCAGAGATGTGCTCAACTGGAGGTCAGGAGAAGTGGTGGTGTCCCATCTGCTACTGAAGCTGTTCCCATACCCCATAAAAAGTGCCCCCCAAAGGAATTTAAAGCAATTTAAGATGGGATCCGCAGTTCTTTTTAAAAAAAAAGGTTTAAAATAATAATCGTGTGGGAGTGTGCACCTAAGCTACACCTTGTATCTCAACCCTAAATACTCATAATAGCAGCAATTAAGAAAACATCATTTTGAATATTGACAGCATTTCTTTTTAACCCCCCTCCCCCGAGATAATAAGCAGTAATCTTCAAAGTGCTTATTCCAGCAGAGCTGGCCTGATGGCTGCTGCTTCCCATATTATTATTATTATTATTATTATTATTATTATTATTAGCTATAGGAGCAGTCTTGGGACTTATGCCCATTCCCATGCTGCACCTTCAAACTCTGCTGCTCAAGCTATTTTTCTCTTAGGCCAATGCAGCTACTGCTGGTGAGTCAGACCATGAAAAGTGGCTGAAACAATGAAACACATGCCAGAAGGATAGGGATGGTGGAAAGTTCATCCGCCGCCACCCATGCTCCGCATTTGAGGTGAAAATCAAATGCTTCATCAAAAGTCCCTGTTCCATATGTGAACGGTGGAGACCTGTGAGTGATAAAATTATTTGGTTGGCCCCATTACATCTAGACTGGTCTGGGGGGGTGGGGGTGGAGTCAAGATTAAAAGGATTCTTCAGCTACACTTAACTGGTGGGATTGTGATTCTTGAGCGGCACCTCCAAATCCAGATAGCAAGCCCATTTTTGAAGGAGAGAAAACAAAACCCAACAGAATGTGCCCAAATCCTTTGGGCAATTCCTATGACTGCCAGAATGCTGTTGTGGAGTCTGTGGCAGCCCTAGATCAGGAAGAACCAGAATAGACTCCAGATGGAGCCTGCCTGAATCTCCTGAATATTGGGCATAATTTGCCACACTTATTTATTGTTTTTCAAGCACAAGCTACCTGACATAAGAGTTGTTGTTGTTTTCCCCCATAAAGTGTCTATGTGCTTGACAACTCCAAGTGTGGCAACAGTAGCTCATTGGATCTCAGCCAAGGATAGGTTTCCTTAGATTTTTCAAATCAAAGCAGCTATCAATACCTTGACCAAGTAGAGCAAATAACCCAGTCCAATACTTCCCTTTCACAGCTTTTAACCAGTCAGCGATAAAACAAACATAATATTTTACCTTCACACACTGAGTAATAATTGACACAGCAGTTGTTATTTTTCACACAGTCTTCTGAACAGGAGCAGAGGTACTCTGGCCGGTTCTTCTCCCCACACCGAAATTTGGTACAGTTCCATATATGACCTGCAAATTCATGGAACCCACTCCACTTTTAGTTAATTATGGCTGAACTGGGTATTGTGTAGAAGGATATCTGAATGCAATTATATGGGTACAAATCAAAGGAGCCGTCGTTTCTTTGCTGGCGCTTTCGTAGATGTTGCCTTTATAAAAGCTAGTCATTTTAATATCTTCTCCATATGTCTAACTCCAGGTTTAGGGGTTGTTGGCAAGGTGCCCCCTATGGAAACCTCCATGTCTATGATCCCCCCCCCCAATCCCTAGCAGCCTTAACTAGCAGATGGGGGCCTGGGTACAAAGTAGTAGAAGTCACCACCTCTGCTACCATTGGTGAGCAACCAACACCAAAAGAAAAGGCCACCTTCTATGCTATTCTGAATCCTGAAGCCTGTTTAATTTGTTTTCATTTGACTTCCAGCCCTCCACTGACTATCAGGAAAGAAAGAAAACAATATGGGGCTGAGGAACCCAGAGTAGTACAAGGCAACCATGCTTTTCTTCCATTGCTAGCACAGGCAGCTCACAGTAGCACAGACAGCAGCTCCTCCCCACTCATCATCTTCTCCACTCCTTGCCCAGAAGATGCTTTCTCTTTGCCTATCCACCTTGCAGCTTAGAAGAGCCACTGCTTGCATTCCTCTGGGGAAGATGGGGATGGCAGAACTATCAGCAGGAAGCAACTGTGCAGTACAACAGCTCATGTTACTTTGAGCGCGCAGGCAGCTACAGTGGAAGCAGTCAACAGAGAAGCACCACTCTTTGCACTACTCTGGGCTCCCCAGAGCCTTACTTCTTTTACTTGTTCCCAGCACTCAATGGAGCACCAAGAAGGAGAAAAACAAAGAGCCCCAGAATGGTGCAGGTGACTCCTGCAGAGGAGTGCCAGGGGCTGCTATTTTAGTTCTCCACAATGCCCCTGACATTTCATCACTGTAATTCCTGGATTAGCAGAGTGCTGCTTCAAAGAAAGAAAGAGGAGCTCTGGAACAGGAAAATCATTGTGGCTTTGGCGTTTCCTATGCCAGGCCTGATATCCATACAATTCTAAATTCCTGAAACATGACAGGAAAAAAGTGTTAAACTGCCTTTATGGTTTAGCTCCCTTTCAAGTCAGGATACAACTTCCTATTCATGCTGAGAACAAAACCACTACACCTTGCTGATGTGGCATCAGTCTGAATTATCAGTAAAAACAAAACAAAAAACAACAACATTAAATTTGTATTAGTTTTCATGCATCCCCACTGACTTTCACAGAACTGCTAGTGAAACTTAGCAAAGTAGTAATGACCCATAGGTTTCCATGGTGGGAAGAAGGCATGACATTAATAGGATACAGTAGTACCTCGGTTTACAAACTTAATCCGTTCCAGAAGTCTGTTCTTAAACCGAAACTGTTCTCAAACCGAGGCGCACTTTCCCTCCTGCCACCAGTACCCTTCCACCATTCAGATTCCGTTCTTAGACTGAGGTAAAGTTTGCAAACTGGGATACTATTTCCAGTTTTGCGGAGTTCATAAACCGAATAGTTCTTAAACAGGGCTGTTCTTAAACCAAGGTACCACTGTATAGTGTTTTCTGTGAGTCAAGTATTAGGGACGAGCTAGGCATTGGGTGGCAGACTTCTGGAAACATCAGATGAGCTGGCAGTTGTGAGGCATGTTTTGAAGGGAGAAAGCAGAAGCCAGATGTTTGCCTGAAACCTGTTCAGGTGCACTTTCCTGCCCCAGCCATTTCAAAAACATATATGGGAACCACAGGTGGTGAGAAATAGCTCAGAGGAGAGGACTTAAGGGGGAAAGTAATAGGTAGGAGAGAGAACTCAGCACACCTTTCTTCCCCATCTACCACTCCTACCTTCCAGTTCATTCCCTCTACCACTAATCTTTAGATAGTCTGAGGGACCAGCAATATACAGGGACATCTGACCTAGTCCTTGTATGCAGTAATTGAGTTGTTTTGCCTGCAGAAGACTCTGTCATTTTCTAAAATGTCTAAGCACTTTCATGGAACAGCATCAATAACCACTGCAGTCTTAGAAGCAGCATTTTGTTTAGGAAAAATGCAGAGTGTTTTGATCAGACTGGTTTGAAATGGCAATGGGACAGCTGTAACAGGACAGCAGCTGGTTCATGTCTCCCAGCTCACCCACATGCTAAGCTGCTTCAAGAACGGGAACAAATTTTATACAAAAAAGTGATGCTTACCCGGTTCTATACAGGCTTCTTGGAAATCTAAACAGCAGTTTCCAAGTTTAACACATTCTTTGTCACAGCGGCAACTTCCAAATGTTCTCTCATAGCAACGGCCTTTGCAGGTTTTGACTGAAATGTTTCATATTTACTTGATGTTAGCAATTGAACATTGATACTACATTAATTAACATTTCATCATGGACCCAGGAGTAAATTTGCATGAAAAAATAGATACCCTTCACTAATTCTTAGTCTAACAAAAAGTACTGTGGGAATTGTGCCTGGATGGCGAGCAGTCTGCGAAGAAATATATGAGGGGCAGACATGAGCCAACAGGCTTCCACTGCAACCAATAGAGATTGTGCATCAATACTGCTGTTTTGATTAGTTTTTCTTCCTCATCAGAAAACTTAGCTCAATGGATCTGTGCAGAAGCAATAGAATATGCCATTTCCACCAGCGATAATGATAAAAGTAATCCATTTCATGCTAACCTCAGCCCTACCCACAACTGAAAGCAGAACTCAAATGATGTCCCTGGGCTCTGCACTGGCCTAGAAGTAGGAAAATTGTTAAATCTGCTGACTAAAACGTCTCCTTCATGTGACACACATAAATATTTCTACCCATGCAATTCCTCAAACGGCTCATTTAGCATACAATGCAAGTTTGGTATGTTTGCCTTTTCTGCAGTATGTTAAGTGTACCATTGGCAAAGCAATGTGGAAGCCTTTGCATGAAACATAACCAACATGAGAACCACAGATATAAACACAATGTATTAGTCACTGTACATGGGCTTTATGGAAAGGGACTTCATAGGATGGCAGTCTGACTTTCACTTGCCTTTGAGTGGAATTTAATGTCATGCAATTATGATTGTTCCATAAATGCAAGCATTTCTGCTTGCCCGATGGAACAGGCTCTCCTCCCCTACCTCTGTGTGGTCCTGGGGGTTCTTCCAACCCCCCAAGCCAATTTGGGGGCACAGAGCAAGGGGGTGAAAGCCTCATTGCTCTAGCAGGATTCATTGTACCCATTCCCACAAGTGCACCTATCTGACTGAATCCCTCATTTAATTAACTAAGATTTCCTTAACTGGGTGACAGGCCTAATAAAAACTTTATCATTTGCATTCAAAAATTGTATTACGACAAGACTGTTACAGAATTTTTATGACAAATGGAAAGATTCATAAATGGGAAAATGGGCAGAACCAATAGTGGATGCTGTGTACCTAATGAATGCAAGGTGAACCTTTTATATCTAAAGAAACTCAGCTACTTATATTAGCATTCTTCATTACTTACCATCTCTTGTACAGCTAGGTTTCAGCCCAAATATACATCCCAGGATTGTTGTTAGCACAATGACACATAATACCTAGAACAGAAGAGATAATAGCCGTCAATATATATATACTTATTACACCAATTCACATTGCTTATCTTCACTCATGCAAACAGAAGTAGTGCTTTTAATTACTTTTACTTGAAATGAAGCTGGCCCTGGTGACTCCAACACAATCATTCCAAGAGCTGATTTAATTAGCAACAAATGAATGATTGATGATGAAGATTTTCAGAGTGAACTCAAATTGCAGCCGACAGAAGTTGCACAATTCTGCCCAGTCTACGCGATCACAGCTCTGACATGTTGTCATGATGTGTACAGCACATGTTTACTGTACACTATGTGTACACACAGGGCACACATTAAATATGTTCTTTGGAAGTTCTTAATCAACCAAGAGGGTAAACAGCAATCAGTCAACATCCTCCAAAATTATACTACACTGTGAAGTTAAAGCAGCATTAGGGCAGTGATACAAGAAACCAACCTATTCTATATGTTCAGCTAGAACTGCATGTTACATGTCTCATGGAACATGACAGCCAGGCATTTAATTTGTCCCACCATAGCATCTAGGACAGCTTAGCTATGTTATGTTATGTAATGTATATCTAATGCATAAATGGTTGGAATTGGGAATGGGTGTGGAAGCAAAGCAGGTGCCATAATCGTAAGTACCACAGGCCCAGGGATGTAAGAAGACAGCGATTCCCATTCGATCCTTTCCCCCGTGCCCATGGCACTGGGCCAGGCAGGGGCCGCGCTGCTGGCCCGCTGAGCTGTGCACCCAGATGCACCCCTCATTCTGACTTGTCTTCATCACAATCAGTGTTGTTTCTGTTCTGCTACACTTCAATTTCTACCAAACAGTCTGTTATTCATCTCACTGTTCATTCATTTTCTTGAAAGCAAAAGCAGTTTAAATGCAGAAAAAGTCATCGATTAAGTTTCATTTGCAGGCTAGGGGTGATGGGTGGGGACCAGTGCTGGATTAGTTTCTGTTCCTGACATAGGGCAAAATAAGTGAACAATGAAAATTTCTGCTTCTGTTTTCATCAGAATTATCTGGCATACCCAAGCCACAATGTAGCAACCATAGAACAATTACAGCTGCCTTCTCTTCACAAACACTAAGATTGTGGACACCAAGAGGAGCCTTGCATGCACACAACTTCTCCAGCTATGCTAAAGTTTTAATGTTGTCACTTCACACAAATAGAAGAGGGTTATTATGCTCTTTTTCTCTCCTGGATGCCATCTGGTATCTGTTGTGGTGCAGGCAAAGGATGAAAGTTAAGTCACATCTTGGGTTTTTTCCCAGCATCACAGAAAAGTTCTAATTACATCAGAATAGGAAAACTGCACATTTCTGAGCATGGTCCAACAGAGCTGCTCCAGTGAAAGTTCCACTTAAATGCAGGGAAATGTCACAAGAGCGAAACACTGATGGATGGTGCCAAATGTGGTAAATGTTCTTAGAGAAATAATAATTTATTTGTTTTTATTATAAATGGAAGCTTCTTTCTAAAGGGATAAGAGCATAGAACAGTTTTCAGATTGTCTTTCTGAAAAACAAGAAGGCAAAATTGGTACATTTAGAATTCAGCTACTGGTAGCAAGAGTAAAAACCTCAAACCTCAGACGGTTTACCAAAAACCGGACAATGCCTAAATACCACCATGCCACCTCTCTAAATGCCACAGCTGAATAGTTTCACATTACAAGTGGATATAACTCATCTAAAGGAGTAGTCCTCATAATATCATCATGGTTGGTAGAGAGAGGATGAATTTCTTCCTGTGGTGAGGAAGTCTTACAGAAATGATAATGTTACTTATGAGCTGCACTGATTCATGTCATTTTGGGTTCTCATGCAAGCCACACACAGGCAAGTTCACAGCACCACAAACCTCAGAACATTACAAAAATATTCATGTGTTTACAACAAGTGCATAGTACCTAGAACTTGGAAATGTTGAGCCATATGATTAGCAAGAACATCCCAGTGATTTTGACAGAACAAATCAAACTGGAAGATGAACATTTATGAAAATGATCCATAACCATTCATTTTATTGGATACACAGTACAATTAATTTTTAGTAAATAAACAGTATGAGTATCTGATGTGATACAGTAGTCCTATAAGGGGTTACAATTGTAAGTTATCAATAATGTTTCCCATAACAATATACCAACAACCACTTTCAGTAGGGTGGCACTTTTACATTGACCCAGCACTCACCACAAGCAAAATTAGGTGGTGGATGCCAACTTTCAAAGAATAAGATGAAGCTCAATCACGTTTCACTTTGCTTCCATGCATTTCCAAAGAACAACATGGTCCTAGTCCAAGCACCACTTGAAGATGCTATAGCGAAGGAATGGCCACAAACTATGCACACTTCTTAGTCTTTGATGAATTTCCTTCCCTTTTATTTTGTCCAATTTAACAAATATCCTATCCCTCATTTGTCACATTTTTACTACCCTGTCCCTAAACCTGGGAAAAAGTTAAACAGCCTCTCTCAGCTATTCTTCAAACAGCTGAACTCCATTCAAATGCACTGATCCAAATTGCTTTGGAGTTAGAAAGACAAGTTGAAGAAAGATACCAAATCTTACTCTGAACAGGTGTAAAAACGTTTGACTGCAGCTGGTGGAAAATGCAAAGCAATGATTTGTGGGGGGGAGCAATTAATTGGTTTTCAAAAAGTGTAATTTGACCTTTCCATTAATTGCAGCTTCCAATTTCATTCTTGAGCAGGAGAGTCACAATGATATATGGAACTTTGGAAGAAAAATTTAGAGTTGGCTTTGGGCTTACGGAGAAAAGAAGAAAATGTTCTGGTTTATTCTGAGAGGTATTTTTGTGCTTGTTTATATTGGAACAAACAATTGTATTCAAGCCATGAGCTTTTGTCTCCTTACTGCTTCCTCTGTGTGGGAGGAAAACAGAAAGCATCACCTTGCAAACATTATAAGCAATGGCAGCAGGTGGTCAGATAAGTGGGGAAACATTTTCTCATGCTAGACAATGAACACTAGGGCATAATAGTTTGAAAGATCTTCCAGATGAAAACCAATTAGACTATGAAAGCAACATGATTTTGGTCCTGATTTGCCCATGTTTGCTGTTCTGCAAATAAGCATTGTAAGAAGAAATTATGCAGTCCAAATGGTTTGAGGGTCCAAGTGTGTGTCAAGGGAGGCAAAACATTTGTGGTGGTAGTCATTACATCTTTTGTAATGTTAGCAAGGTGGTCCTAACATCTTTAAAAAACACGCACACACCTCAGAACAGAATAAAAAAAATCCTTCCAGTAGCACTTTAGAGACCAACTAAGTTTGTTATTGATATGAGTTTTCGTGTGCATGCACACTTTGGGTGGGGAGGGGTATTACTCAGAAGGGTGGTGGGAATGGGTGATTGGCTGATAGGTGTGGTAAACCTGTTGACAACTGTTAATGACTGCAATTGGTCTTACAGGAAAAAGCAAGGGGTGACCAATTGCAAAGGGGTGACCAATACCATTCTAAACCTTCCTTCCATTTTACCTGCATTAAGATTACTCATGCCTTAAAACAGCAAACTTTTGCTCCTGTTTTTTCTGCAAGTTCAGCTCTTACTTGAATTCCCAGTAGTGATGTATGGAAGTGAGAGCTGGACCATAAAGAAGGCTGATCGCCGAAGAATTGATGCTTTTGAATTATGGTGCTGGAGGAGATTCTTGAGAGTCCCGTGGACTGCATGAAGATCAAACCTATCCATTCTTAAGGAAATCAACCCTGAGTGCTCACTGGAAGGACAGATCCTGAAGCTGAGGCTCCAATACTTTGGCCACATCATGAGAAGAGAAGACTCCCTGGGAAAGACCCTGATGCTGGGAAAGATTGAGGGCGACAGAGGACGAGAAGGTTGGACAGTGTTCTCAAAGCTACCAACATGAGTTTGACCAAGCTGCGGGAGGCAGTGGAAGACAGGAGTGCCTGGCGTGCTCTGGTCCATGGGGTCACAAAGAGTCGGACACGACTAAATGACTAAACAACAAGATTTAAAAGAAGCCAACCCAGTTGAATATCATTATTTCTTAAACGTATTTTGCTTAGTACCTCTGAAATTGTTGACAATTTCACACAAATTATGCAACCCTTCAGGATATTTCATGCAAAGCAGCCATTATCACCATAACACTAACATTGTTTCATGTAACCTGTCACCTTGGAGAAATGCATAGTTACAAAAGAAGGTTTGTATACTTTGCAAAGATCCAGAAATAATGATTTCGTTAATCAAATGCTCCGGAGTGCATGGAGTGTATTGAATAACTTAAGCCTTTGGTACTTGCATGGTGTGCTTTGTTAGGGTAAATTGAAAATGCAGGAATAACCAACACTTCCTTAGACACATATGTAGGAGGTGCCCTCTACCTTGTGTGTTTCCTTCCTGTGTGGAGTGAACTATCCAAGAGCACAGCCTTATACTTTGCCACCAGTCAGCCATGCCAATTGCCAGCAAATCAGTGTGCAAAAGTACAATGTAAGTTATAGGGATCTTATATACTAAACCAGAGCTGGCCCTGTCCTGCCCCAAGACGAACATATGACTGCAGAAGCATGGCATGTGGAATGCATGTGTTTTATATATATACATAAAATTCAGTGGTAGTAACTGCATGATAAAAAACACTTCACATAGCTGAGACCAAACCCAGATTAGCTTGGATTTTCCAAAGGGCTAGTCTTGCCATGCTTTGAATCATGATGTACTTATTTGGCAGCCACATATGGATGTCATGGTCAATCACCCCTCAGAACTTGGAAACAGTCATCCCACCACCACACCTATCCTTCTGGTTGCCTGTTTATTTATTGTGTGGTTGCAGAACATACATTGCTTGAAGTCAGCCAGTGGCAGTGCTTAGTCAGTTTCTCTTATATGAAACCATTGTGTTTGCAAATGCCTTTCAGCTTGCTTTGACCTTTAGCAGCTCAGGGTTTACTTTTAACAGAGGTAAATTTATTATTATTCCTAAACTTCACAAAGCAATATGCCGAAGGGCTAGCCTTATTAGCAGCTAAAATGGATGTTCTCCAAAACTATTGGTATGTGCGGTGTGATTTCTACTGAAAAGAACAAGATAATTTTGAATGAATCATTGCCAGTCATTGTGAATAAGCATTCAAGTGTATATTAGGAAAGTATGGCTCATTTTCATGCAGGAGCAGGCACTTAACTAATAGCTGACATATCTAAGTACAGAAAGTTCAAAAGGATTGTTTATATGGCCAAGTTCAACAGGAGAGAAACACGAAAGGTAAGACAAATTCACTCTTATTTAAGATAACTCGTCTGGATTATTTTCCTTGAATTGTTCTAGCACAATATTGAATCTATCACAACTTTCCTCTGAAAAAGATTAGTGTACCTGAGTAAATAAAAGCAAACATGGTTAGGCTGTTGTTCCTACTGCTTCAGTGCTTCCCCTTTCACCACTCTGAATTTACAACAAAACAATATGACAGGCAGCACTTCTTACATACAAAACTGGTGAGTTGTTGTTTTGCTGTCAAATTCTAAAATAGAAATACACAATAAGGAAGATGCCTTATAGCAAAGCAGGCCATTGGTCCACCTTGCTTAGTACTATCTACACTGGCTGGGAGCAGCTGTTCAGGATTTCAGGCAGGCATCTCTGCTAACCCTGCCTGGAGATACCAGTGATGGAACCTAGGACCTCTTCTACATGCAAAGCCAATGTCAAGTCCAGCAAAAGCTAGAGGACCACAAGTTCCCCATCTCTGTTTAGGAGGCTTATCAGATTATTAGTGAGTTGAAATCAAGAAACAGGACCAAGCTGTTGGAATGGTTAAGTGGGGTTCATCATGGGCTTCTTCTCTCATGGCAACAGGGCAATACTCTGCATGCTCACTCAAAAGTAAGTCCCGCCATGTTCGGTGAGGCTTATTCCTAAGTAAATGTGAATGGCACTGCAGCCATGGAGATACAGGCAAGCAGGGACAAAAGCCTGCAAATGTAGGTGCATGGTCCAGAAGAGCCAACACGTTCATTAGGAAGTTGAGGTATAAAGTTACAGCTGTACATTGCCAAAAACTGTACATATTTATTCACTGGCAAAGAACCACCTGCTCTTTGATGTGTATGCCAAAGCACATATGATTTAAGGGCATATGACTCAGGGTTGCCTCTTTCTGTTAAAAAGACGACAATTATGCATTCTGCCAGGAATGGTGTAGTTTTCCAAGGAATCACACTACTAAATGGCCCATGCTATATAATACTGGACTTGTAAATTGTGATTAATTGCTCATGTTCATATCAAACAGCATTCACTTAGAAGTTTTATTTCGAAAACACAGACAGACAGTGCTCTCCCTGCCCCCCCAATTGAACTAGATCTGTTAGCTCTTAGATATCCTGTCCTTTTTCTGTTAGACTAACTTTGGTATGAAATTAGTACAGCAAAATGATTTTAATCCTGGCTCACATACTTGTATAGATGCAAACATCACCATTCCTTCACCTGGGTAGAAGTGATTGCCATCAAAAGTTCAAAGCACACAACCAGACAGGGGTCAATTTGGAGGGGGGGGAGTTATTAATACAAAAATCAGCAAACTTGGATAAATATCAGCAATTCCAGTCCTGGGAGTCCTGGGAAAATCTATAAAATTTGAGACTTGATAGGCAGGCATCAAACCATCAGGAAGGAGGCTGGAGGAGATACCAATTACATGGTTTCTGCTGATTCAGGCATGCTTATTCGTGGCTTACCTGGCTTGTAAAGGAGATAAGGGAGTCCACACACTCCCTTACACTTTTTGAATCCCTGTGCACCAGATCAAACCTGAAAGATAGACGATTGGCCTCAATGCTTTACAGCACATTGATAGATCTATAGAAAACTCTGATGGCCTTCTCAAGGCTTAGGAGCCACTAATGGAAACCTGGATAAATAACATCAGGACTCTCTTGCAGGAGGGTTATAAGGGGAATGCCAAAAAAGGATAGGTTTGGTATCTGCACCTCTTCTGCAGAAATAAGGGTCAACACTCTGCGTATCCCCCAGCCTCTCAATCTTCTATGTGGAGAGGTCATGTGGGGGCCCGTACTGGATGTGGGGTAAAGCACAAGGCACAAGGTCCCTTTGACAAGGTGACTCTTTACAAGCACAAGAACAAACCGTGTTCATTAATACCTTGGTGCATACTTTCTTTGCTTCCATACTACACTCTGCCTTGTAAAAGCTTGTAACTGGAACAACTTTGTGTGGTAACATTGGTTGTTTAAAGAAAATAATAAAAATTGCAGTGGGGGGGAAGAAATCAGAGAATGCTGTGGGCTTCTTCCAGCCCAATGCATCATATGTTGAAATATTGTATATCACCCTGCCTTGGGCCTGGGAGCTTGTTTCTTCTCATTGTTCCACCATAGGTTGTAGCGTGCTGTGCACTAAAACAAAATAGGGCCTCTTCCTCATTTGTGGAATTCCCTCTCATTGGACATGCATGTGGCACTGCTACAGTTTGGAGGCACTACCAGATTACTTGCTTTTGAGCACTTGCCCTGATATGTTTGCAGGGAGATTAGAGAATGTTTACTAAGCATTCGTGTCTGTTGTTGCAAGATTAGACGGCATGGCATCATAGCAAGTGTATTTTCTCATCACTTTGCTTATCACAAAAAGTACGACCTTTTGAGGAAGCTGGTTTCTTGCACAAGACCTCCAAATCAACTGTAATTGTGCAAACTGAGTTTGTTAGTATGTGATTGAATCCCATCCAAAAATAACAAGTCTGGAAGCACCCTGGCTTTTAGTAACACACTTCTTCACCCAGTCCTTTGGGGGAACTTGATGTAGCAATGTCAGCTACAACTGATGTCATCTGCTGTCTGCTGTTATTTATTGTTGTTTGATATTTTAATTACTTCTGTGATATTGTATTTTATAATTAACATTTAAATTACTGCAAACCACTCTGAGATCATAATTGATTAAGAGTGGCTTAGAAACTGATGAAATAAGTTGTTGTTGTTATTTCAGGTATTTATATACCACTTAATATTCAAAAATTATAAGCAGTGAAATTAATGAAACAAGTCAATTGAATAATGTATAATTAAATAAATTATCAAAATATAATGGCTCCTAATCCTCCATTCTAGTCATACTCTGTTCACAGATGCAGTTCATTGATGACTAATCACTATGCAATGTCTCCATGTGGGAATATTCAAATCTTCAACGGTTCAAGACATCTACTTTTAAGCATAAAATGTTATATCAGAAGCAGTCCTGAAACAACCTTTGGTATCCCAAATACCCAGCAGTAGCTTCCAAAACAAAGAACATTTCATATCAATGCACCAAACACACTACATTCCACTGTCCTAAAGACACATTCATCATACTCCATTCTCTCTCTCTGCTCCTCAGCTTCCCATCTACATTGTGTATTCTCGCCATACTGTATTCTTGTTGGAAAGGCCATTATGCAACAGTGCTTAACAACTTGATATTTTTAACAAGATTATTTAAAATGCAATCTTAACCCCCACTGCCCTGGAGTAAGCCCTGCTGAATTCAATAGGACTTGCTTCTGAGTAGACATGCTTAGGAACACACTGTTATTGCTTCAAAGATACAGCATTGGTCCATGCATCCTCCTCCTAGAAAAGGCCCATATAGTCATGTTGGTTCATAGAAAAATCCAGAGTAGAGCAATACATTTCTTAGTACCAACCAAATGTCACAAAATAGTAAGGAAGCTTTTCACTTCTTCAGAACTCTTCACCAGGCTGGACATTAAACAAAGCGTTGGAGAGAAAGAGAAAAATGGCATGATGTTAAAACAAAAAAGTTTGTAGTTTTAATAGTCTAAAAGATAGAGGAGACTGAATGGAGAGTAAACTGGAACAGACAATACAGTAAGTTACTTTGAGTTTAATTCTTTGGAGAAAAGGGACTGATAAAATAAGAATAAGAGTAATATTGTGGACTTTATGAGATAGAAAAAACCAGTCATGGCAGATCTTCCATTACTTTGAAAATATAAAATCTAGTCATTACTCAGATCTATTTTTTTTTCATGCTATCCATTCCTATCATTCTTTCTTCTCTACTATACTGTAGAACAGCAACATATTCAAGATACTATATGACTAACTTTACAAAGGTCATAGTCCACACCTCAAAGGTTTTATGGCCTACTGTGCACCAACCCAATTAATCAGTTTAGAACCTGACAGCAGGTGAGCCTTCATATTTTAGTCATATAGCCAAGCATCTTAATTGCTCATTATGTTACAGAACAGATTGGGAACGTTTGACCTAGAGAGGGAAAGGCAATCCTTTTTAAACTGATATGTACTTCTATTTTAAAAATTTGTAAAGGCTTAAGGAACAATTCTCCTCTCACCTGCTACACACATGATACAATGAAACAAGTGGAGAGTAAACCAATTCTAAAACTTTATTTGCCAGGTTCAGCAGTTATATTGGCCCTTGTGGGTAACTATGGGTGTTTCAAAATACTGTAGTTTTGTTGAAACATGATGCAAGCCAGTGCTATTTTTCTAGAAATTGGGGTGCCGGAACTCACCATGAACTTCTCCCTTGTTCTCTTATACTTATACTAATACCTACTACTACTACTTTATTATTTATACTCCACCCATCTGGCTGGGTTTCCTCAGTCACTCTGGGTGGCTCCCAGCAGAATAGTAAAAACACAATAAAACATCAAAAATTAAAAACTTCCCTACATGGGGCTGCCTTCAGGTGTCTTCTAAAAGTCAGACAGTTGTTTATTTCCTTGACATCTGAGAGAGGGTGTTTCACAGGGAGGACGCCACTACCAAGAAGGCCCTCTGCCTGGTTCCCTGTAACTTTGCTTCTCCCAGTGGCAAAACCGCCCAACTGAGAGGTGTCAGAACTGAGTTCTGGTGAGTTCCAGCTGAGAAAAAGCCCCGATGCAAGCTATTTGAGTTGCAACAAACATTTCTTCAGACAATTCTCAGCTAGATAGCTAGCAGGATTCCATTCCAAACAACCTTCTTAAGAGCCAGATAGATAAATTCCAAAAGATTAGACATATCTAATCACACACACAGCACACACACAAACCCATGCAGTTCTGCCTGCACTTAAGCATACTAAACAATGAGACAAAAGCAGGGCTAGGACTTTTCAAACAAACATCAAAGATATCTCTGTTACAAGTCAAAGGGACTGTGATCCACTAAAGAGATTTAAGATTCCACACTCAATTCCTGAGATGGTGAAGGCTATGGTATCTCCAGGCTTTAACTACTACCATTGAGCTGGGTCCAGAAGTGTGACTCACTCTTAAGAGCAGAGCACTGCTGCATCAGATGTTCTCCTCTGGGACAGCCCTGACCCCAGCTAAGTATCCCAGAAAAGGAGTAAATGTGTAGAGGGATATATTAGCACACTTTCCTCCAGAATTCCATGTAATGCGAAGTTCTCAAAAAGCGATTCTGTTTTATCAGATTTTCCATCAAAATATGATGAAGGAAAATGCTCAGTTCACCACCAGCATCACACTATGTAATTGACAGATTAAGAAAGATGGGTCAGCAATGGGAGTGGACATAAGGCATAATAATGCAGGGCAGGGTAGCAGAAGAGCTGCATCTTACTATGACACTCACTGTCTTTGTTTGTTTATATTATTTTCCCACTTCATCCCAAGAACAGGTTATAATATAATCTTAACTCAGTTCACCTCCAAACCATTCCTTTGAAATAAATTATGCTGCAGTTTACACATGCAGAATGCCACTCCTGTGTAATGTGCAGTAATTAATCTGGAATAACTCTCGCTCCTTCACTGTGATAGTCAGTAATGCAGATTGCCATCCTCATTATCCCAGATGAGCTTGCATTAGAAAGGTGGGGCAATCCAACTTGCAACTACTACTCTAAAGTCAAGTGCCAAGGAAAGTTTAAAGAGTGCAAATACCATACTAGACTCTTGAATATTAACTCACAGACACGAATCATTGGCAATGTCAGCTATTAAGTCCAGTGTATGGCGAACCACCATTTCACCACACACCAAAGTTTTTCAATGCCCTAATATGAGTGTGTTTAAATCAGCTGGCTCCTTATTAGTGAATACTTTCAAAAAGGAAGATGCTGTGGTTAAAGCATTATGTGGTGTGCTCCTAACATCCTCTACTGTCTGATGCAACACATGCAGGTGTGGAATGTGAGTAACCAATGTCGAGGAAATTTAATTCTGCACATGCTCAGGGACACCTGGTTCTTATTCACTTGTCGTTTCACATGTTACGGCACTGAATCATTGCAGTGAAAATTGTAGGTGGCCAATTTCAAACCTTCTGTCTCTCACACACATAGTATTTTCCCCTGTATTGGGAAGAGATGACTTGCCAAAGGTCAGGCAGCATGTTTGCTGTTCCTAAATTAAAGGCATCCCACTCGGTGAAGCTGTGCTGCTGCCTAGGTGCTTTAGCAAAGCCCGCGTCACTTTAGGATGCGAGCCACATCGTTTGGGTCCCTTAGCCAGATTCACAGAGTGGCCCAAGCAAATATTTGCTTCTCCCTCTGCAAAAAGACGAAGGTCACCAACCATCACTTTGGAAAGCTTGCCTTTGCCCAGCGAGCCCGTGACTGCGTGGAAGAGAAGCGTCCCCTTGGAGCCTCACGACAGCCCTGCGAGGTAGGCTACTTTGCCGGCCGGGGGTCGGGTTTTGCGCCCGCTCCGTCCCCGGCTCCGCTCCGGGGTCTCTCGAGGCGCCTGGCTCCGGAGCGGGGAGGGGGGCGGCGAGTCTCCTTACCAGGGAGAGGACTTTGTAGGGGTTGGGCTCCTTGACTTTCGCCCTGAGCGCCGCCGCTTTCTCCGGCTCGTCCGCCACCTCCATAGCCGCCAGCATGGGCACCGCGGCGGAGTTCTTCTTCTCGGGCCCGTCGCTGCCGAAGCCCTTCTCCAGCGGCGGAGGAGCCACCTTGGCTTGGCTGTTCCTCAGGCCGGCGCTCTCCATTCTCTCGCCCGGCGCCTCCTGCGCCCTCGGCTAATAAAAGGGCCGTGGCTCCGCCCCCTGCCTGGCTTTGGCGGGCTTCCCTCAGGCCGCGCGAGGTGGGCGAGAGAAGAACTCGGCGCTCCGGGTTCCTCGGGTTCCTGCCTCGCCTCCCCCCGCCCCCACCCTCTGGCCGCGCGCGCTCTCTGGGGAGCCCGGTGGCTTTTTCTTCTTCCCCCATTCGTGTTCGCAGGATCCTTCCTCTGACGCGCACCCTTCCCGGGAGATGAAGAGGAGCCTGTGCTGCTGGTCCCCCTGAAGGAGCTTTCTAGAGGATGGGCATCAGCATCACCACAAAGGCTTTATTATATATCTGTCAGGAAGCTGAGAAGATGGCAATGTGTGGCTCCAGAAGCCGGCGGCGCAGGAAGGTGACCGGGGTTGTTTACACGGGAGAGTGTGAAGAGGCAGCGTTTTCCTCTGCGGAGAGGAAGGGAAAGTGGGTGGCTGGGCGAGGGGGAGACTTCCAGCCTTCCTATTTGCACAGGTTCTTCCAGAAATCACACTCACCTCTCCAGGCGAAAATGGAACAGAAAACGGATAAAAGATGGAAAGGCATCATCCAAAGATGGAACTGACTTTTTGGTCCCCCATGGACCACTTGGGAATTGGCCGATGAACACTTAATGGTTTTTCTGCCTGTTGTAGCAAGTGCCATGTGCTGTGCTAGGTGTTATATGATTATTATTTTTCTCCCCACTGTTGTATGTTATTGTATTACAGTTTGCATTTCACATAATTCAAGTGGTAGTTCAATAACATGCAATACAATAAATAATATACAATAAAAGAAGCAATAAAGATTCAAATAAAATCAAGATGAATATTTAATACAAGATATGCCATGGGCCACCAGAATGAGGCTTGCAGACTACTGGTGGTCTGTGGATCACATTTTGGGAACCACGGTTTGGGAACTATGGGAAATAGTTGTTTATTGCATACTATCTCTAAAAATAAAACCCGAGGGCTATCTGATGTTCATCTTTGTCTCCCACATCCAATAAGAAACAGTCTTGCAAATACAAACTTACCTTCCTTGAAGTTTCTGCTACAGTTTGATGCATGGTTACTTGGAAGTGATCCCCACTGAACTAATACATTACTGCAGAGGAAACATGCTGTGTACATAAGAGCTGGCTGCTCCTTTTGTAAATGCACATGGAACACACACCTGTAATATATATATATAGAGAGAGAGAGAGAGAGAGAGAGAGAGAGAGAGAGAGTTTTGTTTCCTTTTTTCTTTCTTTGCATACACTCAATAAAACTGCCAATATAATGACATCATTATACAAGTCTATGGTGAGACCACACTTAAGAACACTGTGCACAGTTCTGTTTGCCTCACCTCAGAAAGGACATTGCAGAGTTGGAAAAGGTTCAGAAAAGGGCAACCAAAATGCTCAAGGGGCTGGAGCAGCTCCCCTAGGAGGAAAGGTTTGCAACATTTGACACTTTGTAACTGAGTTAAAAGGGACATGGGTGGTGCTGTGATCTAAACCACTGAGCCTCTTGGTCTTGCCGATCGAAAGGTCGGCAGTTCGAATCCCAGCAACAGGGTGAGCTCCCATTGTTCGGTCTCAGCTCCTGCTAACCTAGCAGTTCGAAAGCACACAGTGCAAGTAGATAAATACAGTGGTGCGTCAGGTTAAGTACTTAATTCGTTCTGGAGGTCCGTACTTAACCTGAAACTGTTTTTAACCTGAAGCACCACTTTAGCTAATGGGGCCTCCCACTGCCGCCGCACCGCCGGAGCACGATTTCTGTTCTCATCCTGAAGCAAAGTTCTTAACCTGAAGCACTATTTCTGGGTTAGCGGAGTCTGTAACCTGAAGCATATGTAACCTGAAGCGTATGTAACCCGAGGTACCACTGTAGGTACTGATCCGCTGGGAAGGTAAACGGCGTTTCCGTGCGCTGCTCTGGTTTAGCCAGAAGCAGCTTAGTCATGCTGGCCACATGACCCGGAAAGCTGTCTGCGGACAAACGCTGGCTCCCTTAGCCTGTAAAGCGAGGCAAACACCGGCTTCCTCGGCCTGTAAAGCGAGATGAGTGCCACAACCCCATAGTCGTTCGTGACTGGACTTAATTGTCAGGGGTCCCTTTACCTTTACCTAATTGAGTTAAAAGACAAGTAGGGGAGGGGGCATGATAGAGGCGCCTTAGAGGAGTTGAATGTTGGAAGATTCAGGAGCAGCAAAAAGAAAGCACTTCTTCATATACAAACTATGGAATTTGCTCCCACAAGGTGGGAGCTTGCTTTAAAAGATTAGACAAATTCAGGGAGGATAAGGTTATCAGTGACTACTAGCCATGGTGACTATGTTCTGGCTCCACTAGCCAAAGGCAGAATGCCTCTGCATACTAGTTGCTTGGAATCACAAGTGAATAGATCACTGTTGCACTGAGGTCCTGCTCTGGGGCTTCCTATAGGCCACTATGAGGACAGGATGCCAGTCTTGATGGACATTCAGTCAAATCCAGCAGGGCTCTACTTTTTTTAACAGCGCAGAGACAGTGCTCCTGAAGGTAGGAGTCTATCAATTGATGAAGATGATCATCCAAATGTCATAGACCAAATGGAGCAAACAGCACACAGATCTAGTGGTGGGAGGAAAAAATCCTGAAATAAGAGACACGGGGGAATGATTAATGGACTTCAATGTCTGTATACTAATGCGCAAAGCATGGGAAATAAACAAGATGAGCTTGGGCTCTTGGTACAGCAAACTAAATATGACATAATAGGCATCACTGAAACCTGGTGGGATAAGTCCCACGATTGGAATGTAATAATGGAGGGATACAATCTATTTCAGAGAAACAGACCAGACAAGAAAGGAGGAGGAGTGGCGTTATTATTATTTATTTATTTACGGCTATTAGCCCATAAAGTATGTACAAACATAAAGCACAGAGGCATAAAAACTAATATATTCGGCACCAGAAGGTGAACACCATGATGCAGGGGTGGGTCATTGAGCAGAGCTAGATAACAGCTTGGGGCCCGGAGAGCTCCAAAGGACGGATCCCAGAAAAGGGGAACTGAAGACGGGATCCGACATGCACTCTCTTCCAAACTGTCCGATTAGTTTTTGATGTTGTTGTTTTTGGTGGTTTTTGTGTGTGAGATAACTGCATTCAGGAATCTCGCCACCTGCAGAGTTACAGAAGGATCTGTATCCTGCAAAAGTAGTGCGGCATGTGACTCAGCAGGCCTGCCAACCAAGCGCAGTAAAGCAGGGCCCAGGAATTTAGTCCTGGCTATGCTATGTAGGGGACAGTTGAACATTATATGTGAGAGAGAATCAACAGTTTTCCCGTCACACACGCATAGCGGAGACACCAAACCCTTGGAAAATCTGTGGCTCAGCAGGTTCGATGGAAAGACATTGAACCTTGCACGAATAAATGCATGTCGGTGTGGTACAGATGAAAGAGATGACATGTATGATGGAAGGCCAAGTGGTGAGGTTATTCCGTGATACCTGGGGAGCAGACACCCTCACCCCGCGCGAGGTTGTGTTGATTTTCAATGTCTGCTAATCTCTGCTCAATAAGTCTTTTGGCTGAGCGTAAGTTCATCTTTAAGGAGTCCGCTGGGGAAATTCCGATGCTCAGAAGTTTGGCATGGATTTTTCCTACCCATGGATTGACAAAGTCGTCCCGCCAGAGGCACTGAAAAAGGTAATGGTTGGGAAGCCTGTGCCAGCTGGACAGCCAATAACCAAAGACTCGCTTCCAGATGACCGTCTCCAATGATGCAATCCTTAACTCCAGACGTATGGCTGCGTTGCTCACACACATGGGGAGTTTCAGGAGGCGACGGAGAAACTGATTCTGCAATGTCCCCAACGATGTTAAATTGGACCCTGGGGCCCAGAGCGGGGCAGCATAACAGAGGGTGGAAACCACTTTTGCATGGTACACCTTCAATGCAGAAGGGATGTGGGAGGCTCCGTCGGCCGCAAAAATTGGAGTAGAGTATAAAGTATTGTTTTCCCTTTGTTTAGTAAATACTGTATCTGTGGCTTCCAGCTTAGGTTGTAGTGAAAAAAGACTCCCAGGTATTTAAATTTGAAAACTTGTTCTAATTGGACTCCATCTAACTTCCAGCTGTAAGTTTTCCGAGACCTGGTAAAGACCAGGACTTTAGATTTCCCATGATTAATTGTCAGATGGTTGAGTTTGCAATAAGCCGCAAAAATCTTTAGAGCTCTGCATAAACCGACTCTAGAGTAGGAAAGGATCGCTGCATCGTCGGCATATAAGAGCAGAGGGCAGCGAAAATCAGCTAGGCGGGGGCATGAATGTTGGCTTGAGACTCATTCAGAAAGAGCTTCATATCGCTAATAAACAAATTGAAGAGGAGTGGGGCCAAAATGCAACCTTGGCGCACACCTCTATTTATTGGGACCTCGTTGGATAGGTTTCCCGCCGGTGTGAGTCTCACTCTAGCCGACGACCCATGGTGTAATTGGGTTATAAGCCATAACAGCCTTCTATCTATGCCCCATCTCTCTAATTTCTTCCATAGACAGTTTCTTGGGATACTGTCGAAGGCGGCCTTTAGGTCTATGAAAGCGACACATAGGCGCCCCCGACTCGGGGCAGAATATTTTCTGGCAAGATGATACAAGATTACCATATGGTCAGTGGTCGAATAATTGTTCCTAAAGCCCGCTTGCTCGTGGCCAATCAAATTTGAGTCGTTTGCCCAATTGGACAGCTTGGACAGCAAAAATTTTGCATAGATTTTCCCGATGATAGACAAAAGGCTGATGTTCCGATAGTTCTCCGGGTCAGCAGGGGGACCCCTTTTATGGACTGGCACGATCACGGCCTCCTTCCATGACCTAGGGATAAGCCCCGTAGAATTAATTGCATCAAAGACTTTGGCCAGGATTTCAGCCCACCACCTCGGTTGCGCAACAATAGCCTCAGCAGGGACTAGATCCAGCCCGGGGGCTTTGCCCGTTTTCAGATCTAATATCAAGTCCATTATCAGGTCTGGGTCGGTAGAGGGCCACAAAGGTAGATGGTCGGCTCGGAATTCAGTGGATGAGTTGGATTCCTCTGCCAAGGAGAAATATTTGCTCAAGAATTGTTCCCATGTGGGCGCAGGGATAATCGTCAGTGGGTACTTCCTTCCTCTTTTGTTTATCAAAGCCCAAAATTCCTGTGGTCTGCGGGATCTAGAGGCCGCAATCAAGGCTCGCCAACGCTTTAGATACCACTCACGTTTGGCCAGCTTTAAAGTCTGTTTGTATGCTCTTTTGGCTTGTAAATAGGAGGATGGTAGAGCCTGGGCATTAGAGTTTTTGTATTCATTATAGATGGAACGAAGAAGGGATCTTGCTTGTTTGCAAGAGGTATTAAACCAAGGGGCCCCAGCACTGCAATGCGCTACTTTCGCCTTTTGAGGAGGTAATGTAAAAAAGTGGTAAGGTTTGTTGTAAGAAGGTTAAAAATTTCAAAACCGAATTGGAATCTTGTAAATCAGTAGCTATTTGAGGTAGATAGGCAGTGATTTCCCTATGGAAAAAATCCTGGTATTTTTGGGCCACAGCCTCCGACCATTTGATCCCACTTATTTTGGTCGCTGATGAGGTTTCCAGAGGGACTGAGTGTTTATAGTCCTTCTGGTACCGGAACAATGACAAAGTGGTCACTATTGGGAGGTGATCACTGAAATGTTGGTTTTCAACTTGGAAGGAAAGTACATTGACGGCCAAATTTGCGGAGATCAAGAGGTAATCGATAACACTGTTAGATGCTGGTCCCAGGTGAGTGAACTCCCCGGTATATCGGGGGGGAAGGTGCCGTTCAAGAATACTAGATTCAGGCGAATGGCCATTTGGTAAAGGGTCACTCCAGCTTTGTTTACTCTGTTGTCCTTTGAAGTTCTAATTCTAGCATGTTCCAAGTCAAAGTTGCCCAAACATGGGGGGAGTCCACCATTTGGACTTGATTAGTAGGTCCCAATTTGTGGCAA